ACCCACTTCCGATTTTGTATTTCATGGTTTTAAGAAAAAAGTTGTCTGAAAATTTTGTTTTTGTTTTTCTTAATAAAAGTAGTTTTTTTCACTACAAAAAAATTAAACCATGTTTAAAATGGTAAATTTTGCAGGGAAATCTGGATTTTGCAATTATGCTAAAAGTTTTTCCATAACTACCAAAGTTGTGACTAAAAATATGTAAAAATTAATACAAAATAGAACACAAAACATAAAAATAACTGCACTTTCTCGAATGTTAATTTAGGACACAATTAGAGAATTAATTAAATAAAAAAGTACATGCGAGATGAGATGTGATATTACGTTTGTAAATAAAAGGATCGAAATAATAACTATTTCTCGCAGAAATTCTGAACGCTTAGAGTCGACATTGGCCTGAGCGCGCTCCGGTCTGTGGATCAAACAAGTTGTCAGGCGACGGTATGGTTTATAATAAAAAAACGGTACTTTCTGGGCGTCGGTTCTTAATACAGTGGTGTCAAACACTTAGTTCTAAAACATGTTTCAATGAATGTTGTTAATTTGTTGAAAATTGAGAAAGGTTAGAATTGCAGTAATTTTTCTAAATAAAAATTGCCTAAAGTCTAAAATTTACGAATTACACAAGACTATTAATGATTATTGCTATATTTTACATATAAAAATAGATATTTATCTGCACCAGAAAGATTAACTTAATTTCAAAAATTAACACACCAGTCTTTACTGAAAATGTACACACTGTACTTGTTATATTTCGAAGGTGAATATTTTCCAAATATCGGAACGCGGAAATAATATCGTCAATGCATACATTGCTACATTGTCGATATATCGGCAAATCCCATGCTGCTGTTTAGTCGAGGAGAGAATAACAGTGCAGATTTAGCAGGAAAATACAATGATAAATTAGCATCCTCTTTACGTAGGCTCGGTCGGCATCCCTGAGAGCCCTTAAGCAAATACAATCCTCTTACGAACTTAAAAGGGCTCAGTTAAGACGCGGTCGCGTTACTATTATCAAATGTAAATGTTCATCTGCTAACAACGGGAAAGTTGCTCTTTATACCGTGAACTTTGAACTTTGGAAGTTATTTTGTTACACACAATTATCTTCTCGTGGGATGTTTCGCTTCCCACCTATGACAGCTTATAAATTGAGAAAAACATTTTTCAGCGAGAATTTTATCTTTGTTTTGTTGGAATATTATGGGAATCGTCGGGTTTAGGAATTTATCCGTTAGGAGAAATATAGGCGTTGTTATTTAAAGAAAAAGGGGAAATTAATACATGTCATAACATTCTCTCACAATTCGCAGTATTTCCATTATGTCATGTAATTGATTTTCAGAGTTATTCTACACCATTTAGCGTTTATTTCTATTTAGTTCTAGTCATTCAAATTGAAATGTCAGATGCATTCACAAAGCTACTTTTGTAACGTTTCTGTGCACGCCTTTGTGGAAAACTTTAAGCGGATTATTTCAGTTGCGTGTTGAATATCTTGCATCAAAACTATAATTTAGATATTGAAAATTATTGGATTTAGCGTATCTACTCCTAAAATCGAAATGTTATTTAGTGACTGGTATATAACCTGAACCTTGGTTTACAAATAAATGTAGAAAAATTGTTCGTAGTGCCACATATCATCGACAATAAAATAAATACATGTAGGTACATTAAAATAGTCGTATTTCTGTTTTCCATTTTCTTTAAAAATGATGCATGCGTCGGGATAATTTAGTTCACTATCCCGGCGCATCCACCATATTTAAACGGATTTTTAAATCCATGGATGTGATTATTACCGGTATTTAGATTCTGCTTCCTACGTCCCCAGCGGCAATTTTAAACAGTTACTAACAATTTCCCCTTTTTATGAAGGACGCATTATAATTCGCTCCATCAGCGCAAATTTATTCTCCCTCTCTTAATATCGATTTAGCAATACTTTCCTATTCTGAATTTTAGGTGTTGCGTTCAGGCGAAATCTCCATAACAAGGCAGTCTTTGTAGGAATAAAACCGACAAGGCTACCCTTGACATGACCTCAGCAGTATTATTATATTTTAATTCTATTTCATAACAAAATTTTCTCGTATATAATTGCTTAATTATGATTTAATCTTTTCCAAGCGAAATTTAGCAGATTTGAAGAAAAAAAAAGACTAAAGTAAGGAGAAAACGTCTCGAAAATGACTAGCACTATTTATGTTGATGACGTCATCACAGTTTTTTTATTGATCAAATTAAGAACGAGGCACCCATTTTCTCGCAAATATGTGAATACGCATGTCTTTATTTATTGTGGTTTTATTAAACTTTAGTCTTCTGATCAAATCCAATTCATTTCTACGTGATATTCTTTGGATGTATAAACATAAAACTTGTACTTGGTTGTTATTGGTGCTGAGGGGACATTTTTTCCCGTTGGTTATCTGCTTTAAATATATTTTACATTGTCCGTACAATCGTAAAATCTATTTTTATAATTTGTTAAAGAAGCGGAATTTGTTGGATTATACTTCAAGGACGTTCTGTCCAAATAACCTTAGACCATTTTTTTCCCGAAATGTTTGCAAATTTGTTGCCCTGTAAAACATTTACTGCTAATTCTAGCCTATTGTCATAAAATAATTTATTAGTAAATACAAATTTGATTACGTTCATATACATACTTTATTTCGTAATTTCTTTACAACGTAATATACTTTCAATACTGGTAATAGTCTTAATGTAATTAGATCGATTTTTGACATAAACACCACTTACAGATTAACATGTTTTACTCGAATACTCATCGTAATAACAAATTAATATTAATAATTATAGAGCTTCAAGTAATATTTGCAAAAATCGCTATTAGATGAGTAAATTAACAAGTTAAACATTTTTGTACATCAAACTACTACTAAAACCCTAGATTCGTAGAACAAAGAGCGGTTAGCACTTAAAAGAAATTGTTTGTGATGTATATTTAATGCTTTAAATTAGGAACACAATCTCGTTTGTGCTTCTTGATGCTCTAAACTTATGATTTTAAGACTTTGGGTGTAAACGATGTGTCGGAGAAGCGTAATTAACTGTTTATAGGCTTTTAATTTTACTAACTGAAAAGCTGTTAACTTAGAAGTGGGGTGCTTAATTAATACTATAACGTAAATATTTAACATCAAAGGAACTATACTTTCCATTTAGACATAATTAAATTTTTATTCGCCACCATTACAAATTTTCAGGTGGTATTTACTTTGATGTAGACACATTATTCTCTTTCTCTACGTCGCATCGTTTAACGAGTTGGTTAGTCACTCATGCTTGAATAATGTTATAAAATGTCCACAAACGTTTCCGAACTGTTGGAACTTTATAAAATAATAATAACGGTAAACGCTGGCCATAAAAATCAATAAAAAAATGCATGAGCTAATTAGCACATATGTTATGTCTCATGATTGTGTGTAGCAAAAATTGCGCAACTGAATTATTTATGGCTCATAATTGTTTTACGCATGAAAAGCATGTAAATAGATAAACAAAGCAAGCTTTAGCGAGCTACTACTGTATTAATACTTAATGTGCACGTAGATTACTTCATTACATAATAAGTTTTACCGCATACTTTACGTCATCGCTTTTCTAAACACGGATGTGCGTTAAACTTTCACGTATGAGAAACTGACTGTGTGTAAATTTTAAATTAAGTTAATGAAAAAATCCCGCGACCAATGTTGACAGTGTCGTAAAATACACAGCTTTTATCGATTATAAAAAAGCTTATGATTCACTGCCTTATTCATGACTAATCAAAGTGATTCATTCGACTCAGAAATCTCTCAGAAGAGAGTTTCTTTAGGTTTGTCTCTTATGCTTCTGTGAATAACGCTAATTATGTTTCCAGATAAAAATTAACAAAAAAGCTTAATTTATGCTATAGATTTCTACATGAATGGGGTTAATTCGTAAAAAATACAAGTGACACAATACCAACTCTGAAGTTGGCTGCGCTTAGACTAAATGATAGTTTGAACTAAGTCGCCATTTATTAACAAAATAACCTCTGGGAGGTTATGTTTTAAAAAGCGAAAATATGTCTAGCATCTCTACCAAAACTTAATAAATTTGCTGAGTAAATGTGTGCTGATATTAAGAAAGAGCAGATGACGTTCGGGATGGGTCTATAGTTTGCTTACTTGGCTTTGTTAAAGGCGTAGGACTCTATTAGTATCTGGCACAATAGGGAGCAGCATACAATGACCTCAAAGGCCTCCGTATATAATAGATCCCCTCCTCCAAAAAATACGTGGCGTTTACTAAACTACCCACATTTTTTATCAATATTTACAATTTATCTCAGATGGTATTAACTTTTTTATAACAAATAAATCTGCAGTAATTTTCCGAAAATTTTTTGTAACTTTTCTTAAATTAAGGGAAGTTCCATGACCTAAATGTTACCTTCAACCTTTCATGTTTTAGGATGGAAAACTGTGAAAGACATTACGGTAATCGAAAGTATATCGCACTATGCGTCTCTAGAGCTGTTATAACATATTACATCTAAATTTCGACAGATTTAGTTTCATTCCATCAACAGCTCTACAGCCCCAGTTGACCTACAGCTTTTTTAGAAATGTCTTCATCTTGTTCTATTCCCTGCTACAAGTCTCCAGTCCTCGATTCCCACTGCCCTCTCATTTTACTCTTCCCAGTCAGTTTTCTTCTTCTCCTCCTAATGATTCCTCTTTTTAGAAATTGCTTCTCTCCGATCTTCCTGCTTACAGTCCTTATCGAAATATCCTTAAAACATGTAACTATTAGATACATAATGCAAACCAGAACTACTGACAAAACTTGTTGTCTTAAAGTCTATAAATGACAAATATGGGAATACCAAATAGTATGTAGGTACGAGCATACATTTTCTTGGTAAATATATAATATGGTTGCTTTTGGTTATGAGAAAAACTGTTGCAATTGTCTTTTGCTTCCAGGCAGAAGCTTCTCCTTACCATGCACACCTTTCGGATTCCGGAAGCGGGAACTTGGAGGTACCGAATAACACCGCGGTCCTCCAACGTTCTCTCTCGCCCTCCAGTGCAGTATCCGCTGAAACTCTTAGTCACAGTATAGGCTCATCCCGCGCGAACTCCTTACCTCGCCCTACCAGCCCTTCCCCATCCGTGGCCTCTGAGAAGACCGAAGTGGACCTCCAAGAGAAACAAGAACGCGAAGAAGAAGAACGGAAACGGCGCATCCAGCTGTACGTGTTCATCTCGAGGTGTATTGCTTATCCCTTCAACGCGAAACAACCAACGGATATGACGAGACGTCAGACCAAAATCACAAAACACCAATTAGAAACTATCACCGCCAGATTTCAGGTAATGGAATGACGAATTCGAAATGAAATTATTTCGCTGTCTGATTGGTTAATCGACAAGAACGAAGCAATTACGCCAAAGCCCTTCCCACGTTTCGAGCACATATTTAATGGAAAAATCGACACATTTATCGCGCGGTTTCAACCTTAACTGCCAATTTCAACTTCGCGATCAAATATCCATGCCGTACGCCTCATATTAACCATAAAGGCGCCCTTCCAGATGCGTGAACATCGATCCGCGAATTCGCACGATTCATTCAATTATGAGCATTAAACGAAACAGAAAGCCCCCGACCAAATCGAGATTAAGGTAAGATCTCAGTTGCGCTTTTTGCTCAAGTGAATTAATTTGATTGAATTTGTAGAAACGCCTCAATATCTTTACCTCTACATATTCTAAGCAAACCGAGGCCTTTGTATTTACTCCTATTAATGAAGTTCCTTTGTGCAATCCTATGATTGTATTATTCAAACTAAAGACCTTTGAAGCTGATTCTTTTATCTCCCTGCTTTTACCTACCAAATCTAGTTATCGGGGCTGCTTCTATTTTCTATACATCAAATACGTCTTCTTGTTTTGACAAGAAAGAGACTTCAAACTTCGGATAATAGCTTGCAACTTATCAAACGACTGATTACGATATGTCATTTTCAACAACTTTGTGGAACGGAACAGACTGCTACTATATATAGATCAATTTAACCTTACGATAACAGACACACTATGATTGACGTCTTCAGAATCTCGAATTACATTTTTAACTCTACTTTAGAAACCCATAAAAACTTTACACCCCATTAGTCAAGGTCTTTAAATAAATGCCGACTCAAAATAGTACTGATTTTTACCGCTTTGACGAGATAAGAATTATAGTCAAGTTGTCAATTTGAGGTTACACAAGTAAGTAATAGTGATTTAAAATGTTACTACGTGTATCTTTCAAATAGGTTCATAATGTGTCTACTGCAGCATAATTTTAATAGATCGGATAACTGTCTATAAATTAATGCAGACACTGCTTTGCCGCCTTGTCGAAACATGATTTATAACCAAACTGTCAAAGTTACGTTACATCCCCTTCAATAACATCGTTTTAAAGTAGTAAATGTCACCGAATATGTAGGCGGCAAAAATTGAACATCGTTAATTTGTACCGGTAGATTGATGGGGTAATCATTTACAGACACTTTGTATAGTAACTATCTACAAACACGCGTATAAATATGGTTTAATTAATGTTGAAGTTTCTCGTGAAGCTAAAAACAAGGGCTCTGGGAGAAAATTGATTCGTGTGATTACTAATTCTAAGAGTTTTAATCGGGCTCAAGTTTAGTTAATCGTGTTCCCCACTTTATTTGACCTACGCGATTTTCTTTGTATTGTCTTGTATTAAGCTTTTCCAGCTAACGTGTGTATTTTCCAGAGACGATTTTCTCGTTATTGTAAAGCAAACATACACGGAAAATGCGTTATTTTTATTATGGATGAAAGTGATTTTCTTTGCTTGAACATTTAGATTCGAATACCAGTCACGTGAAGTTGTTGAAATGAAACCATGATTTCAGAGTTTTTTGAAAGGAGAAACTCAAATAATGGCGGATGAAGCTTTCCAAAACGCTGTACAAAATTACTACGATGTTTTCCTCAAATCGGAGAGAGTAGTGAAAATGGTACAATCTGGTGCTTGTTCGCAATATGATTTTAGAGAGGTTTTTAGGAATAATATCGAAAAACGCGTTAGGTATGATTTTGATTTTTTTTGTTTGTGGTCTCTACTGGTCGTTTTGCGACAGGTCTTTGCCAGAAATGGAGGGTTTAAGTAAAGAAACCGTTCTTACCTCATGGATGGCCAAATTCGACTGTATTCTAAAAGGTAAGTTACGTGTTACAGAAATCGATCGGAAAAGCGAGACGGAAACTAGGGAAAGTTGATTGGCTATTCTTGTGAATTTACCCAAACCCGCTTGGGAGTTTTCTCGACTAAAACGTGTCTTTTAATATGTGTAGATTTTTGTTAAAGTGGATATTGGATTTGATTCATAGCTGTTGCGTGGGAGGTTCAGGGGCGTGGGATAAGGTTGACCGTACACGTTTTAAAATGGGCGTTCGTTTGTTTACAGATTTATTTCTCATTTTCTTTTCGTTTTCCTTTTAAAGTAAGTCTGTTCGTCGATTGTGTGTTTAGGCGTCGGATTTTTGTAGCGCGTCGTCAACTTGCCCCAATTTGCCCGGTCGTAAATATTGGGTAAACATGAGTAAAATTTTTCCTTAATTAAATTGTTGATTGCCTTTGTCTCCTTACAATGGAAACTCGTTCAAGACATGCAGTACTGTCGTTGGCAAATGACGTTTTTATCGAAAAACTTCAAAACCAACGTCGAGGTTAAATTAACGAAATAAATGGAGTTTTCCGCTATTCCCTTATTTCGTTTTTTCGGCCGCCCTCGACGCGAATCGATAATTATGATCTTCTAATTTGCAAAAGATAGCGTTTGATTTTCTATCTCGCAGGATTAGGAGACGAAGATTCCAAGCGGCCTTCTAGAATGCAACAGCAATCGTTAAATTCGGAGTTAATTTTGTCGAAAGAGCAACTGTACGATATGTTCCAACAAATACTGGGCGTTAAAAAATTCGAACACCAACTTCTGTTTAACGCTCTCATGGTAAGGATAAGTCGTTTTTGACAGTATGTCTAAAATTGGGGAGTATTTACAATAGTAAGGACGTTTTAGCTTGATTCGGCTGACGAACAAGCGGCTGCTATTAGAAGAGAGTTAGACGGAAGAATGCAGAAAGTAGCTGAAATGGAAAAGGTAAATTTCGTTTCATTGTTCGCTTACATTTGATCGAAAGACAACATGATTAAATCTACTAACGTATTGGATCTTATATTAAGGTCAACACCGTTGGGGGTTTTCGAGAAACCAGTCTTTTTTCATCAATTTCTCTCGCTCCGCAAGCTATATCGAAAATAATCTAATTACGTGCATTTGACACATTTATATAACACAATTGCGAACACATAACCGCACTATTAATAATCTCGAAACACTTGACGCTCCCTCACATAACTCGAGAAATATTTCAGATATCGACGACAAAAACAAACACTTTATTGGCGGAAGAAGAAAGGAAAACACAAAGAAGCGTAAAAGACTGCGCCAATTTTCCCAAACGCTTTACCGCCCACAACTTTTTTATACCGTATCAACCTTCACAATATCACTAACTTTATACCGCCAATGTACCGAGATAAAACACCCACTGCCGATGCAAAGGCCACGCCAACGTTCCGACTTACTTCAAAAACGAAAAGGGATTAAACAAATAAAACAATAAAAAGGCCGATATTGACTTCATCATTCAATTTTCCACTCTTTCGCCCGACCTTTCAGACACCTCCTCACGAAAATGATCCAGCCTCCATCAAACGCTACAAAACTCTTTGTACAGTAGCGCGACAAAACAAAGCTTTGTGCTACAACCGTTTAACTGATTGTGGAAACCGAACCGAATTTGACGCACATTACGAATTCGGTTTTGCGTAGCACATCACAAATTCAAATTTATCATTTACCGGTTAACGCTTAAAGGTTTAGAGGTCACCCAAAGTTAATTAAATGTAAAGTAACTGAATATCGGAAAGGTTACGGCAAACTGAAACACCTCATTTTTAAAAGAGAAGGACCTAGCCGATGTGTTTTTCAACGTAGGGGTAGCAGGAGGAACTTTCACGTACATTTATACATTCAAGGACAACGACGACGCGACGGCTAGAAAAAAACTTTACGTCAAATAATATTTTAAATGAAATAAAGTCAGTCATCACAATTATCTCTTGATCAGAAATGATTGTCAGTGTCTGATCACATCCCGCAACTGTCAAAAAAACGTTCATTTAAAGTCATTTGGTATGAACGTCCCTATATTTGGCATTGCGTTTAAACCAGAACTGCCTAGCAACTGTACGAATGTTTTCTGATACATTTACCCGCTTTCAGATTGCTGAAGTCGTAAAGTTAAAATGCGACGGCGACGGTTGATATCGAGTTATGAACTCTTAACTCTTTAGCTAAAAATAAGTTTATATATCGCGAAAATCAATGCGAATGAGTTCACATTGTGAAAATGGTTTCTTCTTGTTAGAAAAATGGCGGATGCGCCGGGCCAGAAACGCTCACATATTAGATATTTAGAGAAATCTGTGTATATTAATTCTATCAAATAACGAATTTTAACGTACGACTAATTAGTGGAGTTATATAATTTACAATTTGAAAGTTGGCCAACGTAAACTTTGTTTTGATGGCGATCCTAAAACAAGTTCTTTGTTATCGCAGGAGCAACTGTCCGTTCTATTTACGTAACGACAAAAAGTAAGCATCGAGTGAGTTACTTGTAAACTGAATTCTTCTTCGAGTGTCTGTCTAAAAATATACATTCTTATTGACAAACAAGAGTCGCTAATAAGCACCGTAAATGCTTACAATTGTATGCAGAACACACTAGTAATGCTCAAAGACAAGAAAAATACTCAAAGAGAGTGAAGTTCTTAGGGACGTTCTCGATTCGAATTCATTCAAATAAAAGATAAAAATACATTCATTGTTATCGAATGCGGTGCGTGCGTTAGAAGTTGTGGTGTTTATATTCACGATTGATTTGAAAGCAAAGAAATCGTGTGTAAACAAGTCTATTTTTGCTTGATAAATATAAGTAAGGTAACTGGGAAATTCACGATCATCTTCAAAACAGACGTTTTCTTTCCAGCTTATACGTTTATTTCTGGAAAATGTCAAGAGCTAATGGTCATTGTTTCTTTCTTTTACCCACTTATGAGTGGTTTCCTAATGGAATGTAAATTAATATAAGTGTATAAAAACTATTGGATTAATTCGATTCGAGTACTAAGTACAATCGAATACCGTTTTTAATATTACACCATACAAGTCATCAGAAACAGATAATTAATAACACTTTACCCGAGTTGTGTTTTCAGCACAAGAAATTCAGCCTACGAGTTACAAACAAAAAAGATGAATACGTCACGGCCTCGTTTAGCGCGTTCTAACTTTGGAAGGAAATGAATTTTTGTTGGAGTTGTCGGAATGTCTAAATCTGTTTCTATTCGCAAGGAAGTTCGTAATTTGTTCGGGATCGATAAAACGCGAAAATTGGTCATGTTGTCTTTCTATTTAGATTTGTAGATGTTAAAACTGGCGACTGGATTCTAGAACCGGAAGTTAATGCCGAAATTTGTTCTGAAAGAAATGGAGTCATTGTACATAGAGGAATTAAAGTCATCAATAAATTTATTGATGGCGAATCTCGAATCTCTCCCAGTTTCAAAAGGATCGATGGACTCTAAATATGGCTTGCAAAAACTAAAACGCTATAATCACAGGTTGCATAACCATAATAATCCGTATAATGTGAAGCATCTTTTGATGAATTATGTTACTTCTTTTAGATCGCAAGGATCTTTAGCAAAATTAGAAGGAGATTCAGCTGACAGTGATACGCAACTGACAAAACTTGATGTTGTGCTAACTTTTCAATTAGAGGTAATTTCATTTAAATTTCTCGAGTATCATTCGCAGCTATTACCTCAACCATATTATTTCATTCTCTCCGATCCGCGCTCTATATTCTCTTTCAATTTCTTTGACAGCCCTCGTCTCACGTATTATTAAGACGCTTTTAGTTCTTATGCCACTTCGAGATCCCCTGCACTTGTTTCAGATTTTATTGACTTAGTCTACACTTCGCGACCTTTCGATCACAGTTTACTGAGTGCTACTTCTACAAAAACAACTGACGTTTAGATTGCTGCAAATACAAGCTTCTATATACCTGTTTCGCTTTTATTAAATCGGTTTTCTCGAGCACCGATGTTTATTAAACGGTTAATATACAAGGAATCTTCGATACGGCTACCCAAAATGAGTCCCTCGTTGTCTTTGTAGGAGTAGAACTGTGATTCTAAGCGAGCAACATCCCTTCATGCCTAACCCATCATCTGAGATCAGTAATAATGATAATAATGAGTATGTTCGATAGCTTAAGCACTCGATCTAGTCATTGGACAAGTTGATTCTGCTAAGTTATCCCTGCAATCCTACGCAATATAGCAGTCAGTGTGCGCCATAATAATTGTCTTAGCCCCGAGGCTTCCAAATCAGGTTCTCTAGAGTCGCTATTTTAGGTAGTAGTAATGGAAGTAAAAGGTTTAAAATCTCTAGCGCCCAATCGAATTGTGTATTGCACAATGGAAGTAGAAAACGGAGAAAAGTTACAAACTGATCAAGCCGAAGCCTCCAAACCCATGTGGGACACGCAAGGCGACTTTTGCACCACACATCCCTTGCCGATTGTCAAAGTAAAACTGTACACAGAAAATCCTGGAATGCTTGCTCTCGAAGACAAAGAACTGGGAAAAGTCTCTCTCAAACCGACGCCTCTTTCATCAAAGGTATGAAAACCAGCATATCGGAATTTTCGTTCGAGATGTGTAGCTGAACCACGAATGCACGATGGAACACTTAAGCTCACCTTCAAATAAATTATCCAAATATTTGCATATGAAAAGCAAAGAGATGTCGTTGTCTGGGGTTCAATCAAACCGTATGCACAATACCGCACATAATAGAACTCATTCCAAAGCGCCATGTTGTATTGATGGTTGCAGCGAAACTAATTTCATTCAAATAAGCCCATTTTGCGGAAACAAATGGCAGTTCGGGGTCGATAGCAAAATAAATGATACACGACGGACAATAATGTCACTCACGCAACCACACACACATATACGCAGACAAACGATTAAATAAAACTGTATACTTCTAAAAGTTTCACGATATACACAAAAATACATTTTTCAATGAGTCTCCTTTTAGATGTTTATTTTTACGAACTTAATCCATTCACAGATTTTATCCGTGTTTGTACAAACATCAATACCAGTAACCTTGACATTTGTTTAGGATTGACTGTACTTTTCGCTTCAGGTTCGTCCATCTTTTCTATAATACACAAAAAATTTAATTAATAATACATCAAAAGAGAAACCTTTAACGAAAAATATTTACTTTCCTTGAGATGAAAAATAAAATGTACAAAGAAATTCACGTTTCACAAAGATCTTCATAAAACTTACACAGAATTATTACATGACATTATTCTTTAAAACATTTTAGCTATTTTTAACGTTATACGTACGGAAAATTACGACACAAAGGAAAACGCCTACAGCCAAAGCAACTCGAGATTTTAATTTTGTTAATTAAGGTAAAGTCCATTTCAGAAGGGGGATCGTCACGGTAGATTATGGGATTTCAACATTTTTACACCGCGCATTCAGAATTTTCTCTATAAACTCATTCATATATCAGGTAAATGTCACCATCAAAATTAACATTGACATAAAATGTGTGTTAAGAATTATACACTATAAATCAAATAACGAGATTAATTTGTCATGGCAATAACAGGTAGTTAAGTATACTGGTTACAAACGTATGCACCACTATGGATTACAAGAAAGGTTTTGAAAATGTTGTGTGCTGCTTTTCGTAGGAGTGTAAGGTGCGTGGGCTTAAGTGTATCTATATCATTGTAGACACACAATATCACACTTTTTGGGAAAATCGGGTGTGTTGTAGTTCTTAGGTACGTAGACAGGTCAGATTTTGGATAACAACTGACGACACTCACCATACCAACCTACACTAGGAACCACCTCGTCAGATCCCAAAACAATTTAGTCCGAATGTTGGTAGCTGTGATTGATGGTTCAAGATTTCTGCTCGAAATAGAACTGTTTACACCATTTTCATGACAATTTCGTTAGAGTTTAAAGAGTCGGCACGAATGTTTGTGTGGAGTTTTTTCCGTAGGGAAAAGGCCACACCCAGATGCAAAGTTTACGAACCCAAGTGTTCTAGAAATTGTTAAAATAGTGTGAACGTGAGCTTTTCGAGCTGAGACCGGTTTGTATAATGGCCTGAACTAATATAGGTACCGGAATGGCACAAAATGACCGTACCTAAAAACCTGCCTGATCAAGATTTGCGGATTAGAATAGCGTGTAGAATGGACAAACCTTTGAACATGAAACATTGCGGTTATCTGTATGCTTTGGGGAAAAACGTTTGGAAAAAGTGGAAAAAACGATATTACGTCTTGGTACAAGTATCTCAATACACATTCGCGATGTGCAGTTACAAAGAGAAAAAGTCGGAACCATCCGAAATGATGCAGTTGGACGGTTACACGGTGGATTACATCGAAGCTTCAAGTGGTAAGTTTTGTTCATTTTGGCGTACTTTTCGTTCATCGATTTGGTATTTTTAAGCGAACTTAATGGTCGGAATGGGTAAGCGTAAGTTTCCTCCCTTTTCTCTTATCTTGCAAGAGCTGCGATGTGCTGAAGGCGCGTTTTACAGATTTGGAAGGTGGGCGATATTTTTTTAACGCTGTTAGAGAGGGCGATAGCATTATTTTCGCGAGCGATGACGAAAACGAATGCCATTTGTGGGTGATGGCAATGTACCGCGCGACCGGGCAAAGCCACAAACCCACGCCGCCCTTAACGCTGCAAGATAAAAATTCGACGATATCTAAAATACAAGGAGGTAGGTGCGACAAAAATTAGCGTCCCCTTGGAAGATAATTTTTTTGCTTCGACTATCCCAGTCAGTTTTGGCGCCAAGAGGGGTTTTAAAAGAAACGAAATTGCGATTATTTTCCAGGTGGGATGAATTTTGGTCGCTGTTGAATTCTGTCGGTCGGTCTAATTTGCATGATTATTTCGGTAGACGCTGATCGCGCACGAAAACACGGAATGGAGGACTTCATATCGGCAGATCCTTGTCAGTTTGACCACGCTTCTCTGTTCAAACTTCTGCAAAACCTCACATTAGAATACCGACTCAACGACCCGTACTGTTCTTTGGTAGTAATGTCGTGAAAAAGGCAAGATGGGGATGTAAAATTTGATTGTTGCAGGGGTGGTTTAGTCCCGGCCAAGTGTTCGTTTTGGACGAATATTGCGCGAGATATGGAGTGCGGGGATGTTACAGACATTTATGTTATTTATCCGACTTATTAGATAGGGCAGAAAAAAATGTTATGATTGACCCTACACTTATACACTATAGTTTTGCGTTCTGCGCAAGCCACGTACATGGAAACAGGTTTGTAGACTCTCTCTAGGGCTTAGAAAGTACATCGATTAATTGGTAACTCTAGCAATGACTTTAGACCCGACGGCGTTGGCAGCGTCACCCACGAAGAGAAAGAAAAATTTCAAGATGTTAAGGAACGATTACGAGTTTTATTAGAAAACCAAATTACCAATTTCAGGTAAAGATCATTCAGATACGTATGGAATAGCTACAAACACGACAAAAAACACATTAACACTAAGGACGACAAGGGAATCAAGGACGCAACAAATTTCCATATTGTTTTTTTTGCATTTCTTTACCATTATTTACAGATATTTAAATTTACGAAATTTAAACGAAATTTTATGTACAGAGGTAACAGTAAGTAACAGGACTTAGCATACCGTTTTATTGTAGGTCAATTTTGTAAATAGTTCACGACATGGTTATTGAATAGTGCTAGCTTCTAATTCTTTTGAATTTAGATACAATGAATTTTCAAATGCATGACGATTTTTACGTAGCTGACATTAGTTCGACTTTCTTCCAAGAAAAAATCTCAAAACTTTTACTTGCTTTGACAACTTTTTTCTCCGATTAAGGCCAAAGCCACTTCTAATGCAATTGGCAGCAAAATTTCAATTTCTTTCACCAAAGCACCAAAAGTTCGATGCCTAAATTCAAATTTCGTCTACTTTTAACACACATCTAACCCGACACACGTACACCTTGTTGTATTGGTTCGACACTTGCAGAAATAACGCACTCAAATCAAAATCACTACATCAAAATCTAACATCGTTATTTCTGAAAATGTTCAACTACTAGGCATGATTGTTGTTCTAAAAAAAACCAAAACGGGATCTTAGTAGAACTTCAATATAGTAATACCCTGCTCAGACCCCGTCACTTCAATTTTTGCATTTTGTTGTACAGTTTGTAGATTTTTTTCTATTAGCATAAGTGTTTCCATCTGTAGCGAACCAAATTTGAGAAAATCGGAATTGTGTTGCAGGTATTGCTTTCCTTTTGGGAGACCAGAGGGCGCCTTAAAAGCCACCCTTTCATTATTGGAAAGGGTTCTAATGAAAGATATCGTTACACCAGTGCCTCCTGAAGAAGTACGCGGGATGATCAAGAAGTGTCTAGAAACTGCTGCGTTACTCAACTACACTAGATTATCGTCAGAAGCTAAAATAGAAGGTAGGTTTTGTTCTTTCTCCGTCCCGGTCGATAAATTATTTTAATGATAATGCAGAAGACTTACGAGGGGAAACCATGGTGCCACCCAGCAAAAAATTAGATGATTTAATTCACTTAGCTGAATTATGTGTTGACTTACTGCAACAAAATGAGGAACATTACGCCGAGGTATGTATATTATCGTTCTATTTTCAGACGGAAAACAAAACAGAGAATTCAGTTCCATTTTGCAATCTCTGGCTGGTTGCTTATTAGTTTAAAGTTGAAAATCGATAGTCTTATTGATTGCCCGGCTGGCAAGCTCGTGCGGAGTTTTAAGACTTTCGGAGCCGACGATTGCAATTTGTTACGGCGTCAAAATGACTGTTAAATTTTTTTGATGTTTCCAACGGGTTACATCAAAAAGATTCGATTTCATATGTATTGGTGATAAACGAAATTAATTAAACAGTGTTTCTCATTAAATACTTACTCCATGTAACCACGCATAAGATAACAGTTTTTCTCGATTTACTGCGAAATTCGTGCTATTAATATTAAAATTAAATTTTTGATAAACATAGAGGTTATAATAAATTTGCATTTATTCAAAGAATAAAACTCTAAAGATACCCGTTTTGAAATAGATTTCCATCGTTTACTTTTTATAAATCTCTTTCTTTTTCTTCTTCCTGATTTCTTTAGCGTATTAAAATTATGCTAATGCCGAGTGGTTAATGCAAATTTGCACCCTAAATTATGCAAAATCATGCAAAATGCCAATGCTGAATTACAAATCAGGTTGGGTTATTTTCGAACCAAGTCATTCATACAATCTATACAGATAGTTTCGCCGCTTTGCTTGAAACGAAGAAACGACAATTAAAATTATTAATCCAATTTCGAATTGTTCCGAAACTTGAAAAAATATATACATTCCCCAGTAAAATCAACGTTTTATTCGTACTAATAAAATTTTATGCAATCATAATGAAATAGTCCAAACATTTTTAAAGTCTTAAAAGTTTGTTAAATTTATTTAAAACATTTCCACTAAGTACTACATATTCTGCACGATCATTTTAACTTGAATCTCAAATATTGTTGTAAAAGCAGGATTTCTCGTAGATTCGGTTGACAATTCTGTCTTATCAACTTTATATAAAAATTTCAGAGTAAATGACGTAAATTTGACTCAAATAAGAGTATGTTTGGATGTCGTTATTACATTTAATCTTGGACCTTAAAACACCTTGACAGCATAACACGACATTCACGGAATGGAAATATATATAGTTTTGGAAATTTCATTCTACCCTATAAAATTTTATTGGCCATAACGAGACGGACAGTAATTCAATAGCAAGAGATATTTACAACTTCAAGTTGTCGCGTGCCGGTAATCCCCAAATGTTAGAAAACAGCGTAGGAATCCGGGTTCGGACAGGGACCATCGTTACTCACGAACGAAAATGACCATTATTTTACGAGTACAACTACCTGCTAAATGTTCTCCGACAAATTCGGGTGAACTAGTGTGCGCCATAAATATTTCTTACCAGTGTACTACTGTCCGTCTCGTTATTGTCAATAAAATTTTATAGGGTAGAATGAAATTTCCAAAGCTATAAATTGTTGGTGGCAGCTGGGGATACCATTAATTACATCAAAGGTTTAAGGCAATTTTTGTTAACGTAAATACAATTAATCTTGTATCTGTAAAACATCTAAAGCACCTAGTTTTTACAGGGTGTTTCATCGAAAGTGAAAATTGTTCAATGAAAAAATTTTCTTAGAAATATTATAAACTAAAACATTTGGATAACGTGTTTTTAAATGTTTTATTTTTTTTTTTTAATTTTCGAAAACTAGTAGCATGCAACTTCCAGTAAAATTTTTGAAAACTTTTAAAATATGCCGAGACAAAGATACTGTATACAAGATGTAGCAATGAATAGTAACGCAGTTGATTTTTTTGTAACGATCTTATGTACTTCTCTGTAATGACTGTGTGACCTGACTAGATTTTTTGTAGACCGCGTGCGTCCTTGAGAAATGCTGATCTATGTGATGTATCTGTACAGCTTGTTTGGTGTAGTGACAAGTCCAATATATGTCCCTTGTCCCTAGACCAAGCTGTGTTGATGAAAACCTATTTGTACCAATGTATTTAATGTTGTGTGTAATTCTGTGTATATGTAGCAACTGCGCAAGGCAGACCGGCAACCGTCGCCACAAGCCGCAGCCTCGGCGGGCACGAACGCTAGTTCGGCCGCTCCGGGTGCTCCCGGCACTCAGGGCCGTGATGCCAAGCAGCAAAACTCTGTGTTCCGCTATTGCATGCCTCAGCATGCCACTTACACCCCACCAGACCCCACGGCACGTACATCTTCTATCTCTTTCTAATTCTCAGTAGGTATCGCCGTGCAGGACTCAACTGGTTCGTTGGTCCTGGACGGTGCGTTTCGTTGAAAACAAAGATCTAGTTTTCCCCGAGGAAATTGATGTTGGACCTTGCGGGAAGAACATGCGTCAACAGCTTTCTATAGACACTATACTAACAGTCAATACAAAACAATAGAAAACTGCTGATACAACTAACAGGTGCCGACTGACTAACACGATCTGTCACTACTCTACATTCCAAACAAACAGAATCCCCGTGTGCTATTGCCAAGTCAAAATTTTGCTGCTGCTTGTCAGTGTGTCCCTGTTTCTGACTTACCTCGTTTCCGCTGTTGGTGTTGTGTATCTCAGTCAGCGCCTGATCGATGCATGGTTGTCGATTTCTTAACTTCCAGGGACTTTTCCAAATTTGGATTTGCGCAAGCCGGAACCAGTAAATGATTTGTTGTTTTTCCACACAGGCCTTTGCGTGGTTCAGTGATTTACTAGTAGAACACGCTGAAATATTTTGGTCCTTGTTTGCTGTCGACATGGATCGGGTTTTAGCCGAACAACCCGCAGACACCTGGGACTCATTCCCGCTTTTTCAAATACTTAACGATTATCTCAGAACTGACGGTAAGTATCAACATCAACCATTCCAACTCAACCAGAGCATTTCTTTCAGACAATTTAAAAAATGGACGCTTCCATCAACACCTCCGGGACACGTTTGCTCCTCTTGTGGTGCGTTACGTGGATCTAATGGAATCCTCGATAGCCCAATCCATTCATAAGGGCTTCGAGAAGGAACGCTGGGAAATCAAAGGGTAAATGTTTCCTTTCGAGTAAACGCTTTTCTAGTTTGTGGTTGTAGTAACGGTTGTGCAACGTCCGAAGACCTATTCTGGAAACTAGACGCCCTTCAGTCCTTCATCCGAGACCTTCACTGGCCCGACGCGGAGTTCCGCCAGCATCTAGAGCAGCGTCTCAAACTCATGGCGTGCGATATGATCGAATCCTGCATTCAAAGGACCGAAACCGCCTTCCAACAGTGGCTGAAAAAATCCGTTACCTTCATCTCGACGGATTACATAATCCCATCCGAAATGTGTGCGATGGTCAATGTTATTTTGGACGCCAAAAACCAATCTTTCAAATTGTGCGCGGTCGACGGTATCGATGTCCATCAATACCACACGAAAATCGACGACCAAATTGACAAGACCTTGGCAAACATGAATCAAGGGATGATCAGCAAATTAATGTCGGTTTTGGAAGCGACCTTGTCTAAGCTTTCACGTTATGACGAAGGGAGCTTGATTGGATCGATTTTAAGTTTCACGGTGAGTTAAAAATCTAGGAGAACAAGAGTTATTTTAAATCTCGTAGAACGTTTCCGGTTCCGGGAAGGATATGGGTCAGGGTTACGTAAACTTCACACGTAACTGCATGGACCAAATAAGAGGTAAAGTAACGGATGAACTCTGGATTCTAAATTTCTTCGAACAGTGGTACACCAGTCAAATCAACATGCTTTGCAACTGGTTATCAGAACGGTTGGATCACACTTTGCATCCATACCAATGTACGTGCCTTGCCCATATTGTGAAGGTAAGTAAACCTCGTTCAACCAAGCGAATCCTTTTTGCAAAGTCTTTTTCAGAAAATCTACTCAGACTTTGAACTTCAAGGCGTCATGGAAGATAAACTAAATTCCAAAGCTTATCAAACAATAGCTCAGAGAATGCAAACGGAGGAAGCTACATGTGTTCTTACGATGGGACAAGCAGAAGGGTAAGTTGAAGAAGGTATGGTAAAATTCATCACTTTTTCGGTGTAGGGGATCGGAAGGTTTAGATGAAGACGCGGACAACAGGAGCAAAACGAAGGTTACGATAATGGAGAGTTTAAGCGGGGAAGATGGGAATTACGTTTCGAATATTGGAAACATGGTGGCGGGACGAGTTGGCAATATTTTTGGGAAGGGATTAGGAGGAATAAGTACAAAATTTGGTGGTGGTGCAAGCAGCTGGTTTTAAATGAGCAAATTTTTATTATAGCTTATATTTTCTCACATGAGTTACGTGAATGCTGGCACTGGCCTGATATTGTGATGGTCCGTTTTTAACTCTTAATAATGAATTTAGGTACTTGAAATAATTTCAAAGCAATTTTAGTAAACTTTTGTACCGTGTGTTGACATTTGTTGACTATATACTATACGTTCTTTACCAATAATCTTGTTCGAAAATACCCAATAATATTCACTATATATTCTTGATTTGCTACCACTATATAGTTATAACTAATTTAGTTTCAAATGTATTGGTGCCATTCTGGCACTACCTATAACATTAAGCCTTCAGGAACACACCATGCGAATTGGTACAATAAATATAAACAATGCCATCGCACTGGACTCGACCAAAATGATTCCTTTTTATTCGATCAACATTTGTTACAACACGTCACACATGTTATGTAAGAAATTTTGTATATATTGTGCTAGATCGTAGTGTATAAATATTCAGTCTGTTACATGACACATTACTTGATGTTTACTAAAATTAAATAAATTTTTATTACATATCAAATATGTAAGCTTCTATTTTTTCTATTTTAAAAAGTTACGATCAAATTTGTTGGTTGAAGTGTTATTAATATATAGAATTAGCTCTTGCATTAAATCAAGACGAGTCCAGTGCAGTTGGCAAGTGTAGTGTAAAAATGCAAATTAATGACGTTTTCAGTATCTTAAAGCACATTTGCTATAAATAGCATTGCGCATATCTTAGGAACGTATTGTTGTAGACATGTTGGATACTGAAAATGTTTTTGTTTTTAACTATGTATTTGCTTTATGTGCTGGCATCGGTTTGTAAAGTTACAGTTATGAGAGCCTGTATATCCACAATTGTAAGTTACTATGTTGTTCAGTTAATTTTAGAATAAACTGATTAAAATAACAACGATAACTAATTGAAATTTTTCATCGTAAAACTGCATGCTGCTGCTAATATTTTTAAAAATTCTCTGTAGCTCTTTCATCAGAAAACATTGACAAGTACAAATTTATAATTCGTATATCGTAGTATAGCTATCAAAAATTTTGAAGCGTAATTTTTGATAAATGTGAATAGGTGACGATATAGTCTTAAATTAATAACTCTTCATCACTTCGCTATATAATAAATAAAAAGGTATATCCAATTGGTTGTTAAAAACTTTAAAGTTTAAAAATATTTCCATATAAGTGTATATAGAAATACAGATGTTCGTATTTCATAATTACTTTATCTGCCTTTTCATGAACATCAAATACTATACTTATAGTAGGATAACTCAATTTTAAAATAGAGAGTAACTGAATTTCATAGTAACTCGTTTTTTGTTTTTGTACACCACAAAACACCCTACATTCTAATCTACTTCCCCTATATCTGCCTATGAAAAGCGACCAATCTTTTTCGTTTTGTTTTAAAACGGTCATGGCAATTCTTAGCACTGATTTGTAAATGAATGTTGGGCCTGTGATGTCAACAAACCAAAGGATGCTAAAATTTTGAAGCCTATATGAATAATTATTTATAGGCTAGATAATATTGTTATGTTTAACTAACTTGTACTTACTGATGGTAAATAAATTGTTTTAAAAGATACTTGTACTTTTTTTATTACAATTACCTCTTCTCAAGCAACACCGACATAATACTTAAACACAGTCATATAGTCAATTAAAATTACCACGAACATTATACGCATTTAAGACGCTCCCTCTCTCCTAGCACAACCTGTCGGAGTCAGTTTTGTCAACTGTAGGTTAGACAATTTCAAATCTACTTAATAATTAATTATACAATCAGCAACCACTTGTTTACTAATTGTGTAGCAATTACATACTGCACATCACACTATTCTTACTGCACCAACGCCCTTAATAGCGACAACAACATTAAAAAATTATTTTTAGATGAGTAGGTACTTACGTAAAATGATTATATATTGATTCATACCATCTGCTACGTTTTTCAATACTGGAAAACAGATACACAACTTTCGAAGAAACCACTAAATAAATTATTCACCAGCACTCAAACACCCAACTTGTGTTTTGGAAGCCACACAGATTCTGGTGATTTAGGTAAACACTGATTTGTTTGTAAACATGCGTAAATCTTTCTGTTTAATTCTCTCATCGAGATTGCAATTCTCCTTTTCTAACGCACGTTGCCAAGGCATTATCCCGACTGCTTATTTTGTTCCGAGTCCTTGTTTGACATTAAGATTAAATGTAATTTACGTTTCAGCTTTTTGCTTTTTTATGACTCGATAAACACTTCTAGAAATGAAAGAGGGGTGAGGGTTTTATACGCCAGAATTTCATAACATCGGAGAGAAAAATAACGACGGCGGCTCGACCAGATATTTTTTTTTCTAGGTAGAGGAACGGCATTTTTTTTCTTCCTGGCTGGACTATATAATTAGTAATTACCACATGTTAATAAATATTTTTAAATAAGTACTATAGCACAGCGACCTTGACATGTGAATAAGTTACGATTGGAACATTTATAAAACCAGAAATGAGTATGTACACATTAGTTACAGATCGTAGAATACGAAAATATAGGTTCCCCGTTTTTTATATCTAGATACGTGCAGCGATTTTCAGGAGTTCGGGAAAAATCGATAATGCCTATTTTATATTTGTTGTTTGTCCTGGACAATAATTTTCATTTCCTCTAAAACACCTAATTATGGACTTATTGATCCATTGAAATCTACCTATGCCTTCACTTTCGTCCATAAACTTTGAAGCTTTTGTTGTCATGACGTGTTTTCCTCGGCATGATGGCCTATTTCACAGACGGCCATCTTACCTATTTTTGTATGCGCCATTAGGGCCAGATTAAAAATTACTGACGTCATTCTTATTTTGTCCGACATTTTGAATAACAGGATCGTGAGGCACCTCCCACTTATTCGTGCATATTCGGAATGTGCCACACCCTGTGAAGTATTCAAAAACCCACAAAACGTCATAGTATGTAACCACAGCATGGTAACCATGTTAGAACGCAATTTTCGGATTATCCAAAGACGATTAGCAGAAAACCTGCGCAAAAGTGTTATTTGAAATGTTCATAAAACCAAGGTTGATAACCTTGTATAAAACTTTGTGAGGTTATGTGTTTTGCATTTACGACAAGGCGTTGTCGGTATCACGCGTCCTAGTGAAGTCATGTACACAAAAATTCAGAAGTGATATAAAAGCAGTACGATGATCATACTGCTACTATTCGTGCCCCTTTTTATATTGGCGTTAATTAAAACTTTACTAACCCCCAAGAAATTGAAAAACTTGGATAAAAAACACGTTGTGGTTACAGGAGGTTCAAGTGGAATAGGCAAACATGCAGCTATTTTAGCCGCAAGAAAAGGTGCCAACGTCACTATTATAGCTAGAAACAGCGATCGACTGGCAGCAGCCAAAAAAGAAATCGAAGCAGCGTGTATTGGCAAAGACCAATTGATATCAGCGGTATCTGTAGATGTATCCAATCGCAAAGCTATCAGCAACGAATTGGACAGCATTGAAGACAAAGTGGGGCCAATTTACATGTTGATCAACTGCGCTGGTATGGCAATTTGTGGTAACGTTGAAGACTTTACCGATAAGGATATTAATACTTTAATTAATGCTAACTATTTGGGATGTCTGTACCCAATCCAAAACGTAGTACCTAAATTTAAACAACGTAAAGAAGGAATAATTGTACTGACTGGATCACAAGTGAGTCTAATGGGCATGTATGGTTATTCGATTTACTCAAGTTGCAAGTTTGCTCTGAGGGGTCTTGCTGAATCAATCCATATGGAACTAAAACCATATAACGTGTTTGTAACATTATCACTACCTCCAGATACAGATACTCCTGGTTTTGAAACTGAAAATAAAACAAAACCACAAGAAACTATACTGATTTCACAGGCAGGAGGGTTGTATCAAGCTGATACTGTAGCAGAGAAACTCTTACAGGATGCTTTGGTATATACAGTTTTCCAGGAATCTTGATTATCTATTATTTGTTTTTTTTTTTTTGTTTGTAGGCGGGGAACTTTTTCAGCTATGTAGGCTTTGATAGTTATGTGTTGACCACATTGTGTGTTGGAATGTCACCTTTTACAAATTTATTAGAGGTGATGATACAGTCTGTGATTTTGGGACCTTTGAGACTTATGGCTGCCTATTACACAAACTCGTTTGAAAAAATTGTCCACAAATGCTATTTGGAAAAGGAAAAAAATAAATGACTTTAGTGATAAAAAAAATTGAATAATTGACCAAAATAGAATGTTCTTATTTAATAGTTTGGTTGTGTTTTTAGAAATGTATCTACGTTTATAAGAGCTGTTATATCAGAAATCTGTAAATAACATATGTTCATATAATTAATTTAATGTAAACGGTCTTTCATTACACCCCTCCATTTAATTATGAGTACCACGCTTGCGAGCATGGAATCTCTGGCACTTCACAAACAATTTAAACCATAACCTTACTTGTAACTGTGCTCAAGATCTGTGATTATATAATTCTCTACATTAATATTCACATGAACGCGGTAATCTTGAAAACCATTTTATTTATTCACGTTGTTTCTTGTTTCTAAATTGTAGTAGAAAGTTAACATTGACTTAGTGTGGATTATGGTCATGAAACAACTAAGGGCGTATTTATTAAATCACTAAAGAAAATAGAAGACGCCATTTCAAAAAAATTTAGTGTGTAGAAATAGATTAATTGGTTACACTCATGTTAAACTGTGAATAACCTTTTAGAGAAACCCCCACTTGTTGATTCACTGTTTAACATTATACTATCTACAACGCACGTAGATTACGCTACACTTAATATTAAGGGTTGGTTTATGTAACTGACAATTACGTAGCCCGAAAGTAACAAATCTAAACAAACAATAAATCAGTGAACGCATTTTCTTTTTTATACATTTTATTTTCAGATCAATTAAAGGTTGTTAATACTAAAATGTAGTTAAGTCCATTTGGACAAAATCCAGATTCTACATACTTTGAATAAGCGAACCGTTTGTTGATAAAAATAAGATAGCTATATTAGAAAATGTAGAAAGAGTTTATTCTTACTAAATTAAAAGTTTTTATACAACAACAAAGTCACAATTATGTTTACCTGTATATCCTGTGTGCAGTTGGGCATCTGCATTAAAAGTGCACCACTTTTTATTTGTGAGTTTTTATTAGCACTTGTTTTAAACTTGCAGCACAACACTTAAATTTGCATCAATTATTTTGTTTTCGGTATAATTATTTAATTAATTATTCGCTAACAACAACAAATTAATGATTTTTAACTGTAATTTTATTATTTAGCAATAACAAGGTAGATCACGGAAAATTAGATTGTTTGGTCGCTCATCTATTCTGACATTTCTGCGTAAAATTTTAGATGACAGTGATTCCATCCGATGAACCGATTTTTCAAATGACAGAAGAATGGAACATCTCGGATTCCTCACTTTTCGAAGTTTTTACATTTTGCACAATCTTGTCACACTTGAATGAATTTCTGGAGCAATTCGGGTTAGTTTGTACTTCACAAACTGCAGAATGTTCCTCATAACTCCTTCACAAAATATCAGCTTGTTCACCTAAATGCATTCATTTATTTCAAGCAAATCGAGAGTACGTCTTATACCGACGCTCATGAAAATTGAAAATCTTGTGTACTTTGTGAAACCTCAAGTTCGAGTTAAGCCCCGGTTGTCTGGCAACCAGCCTTGCGCAAGGTGAAAGGACTTGAACGATTTTCCCTGTGACCTTGACGATCCTGCAGCTGTTTCTGACACTTGTAAGTTTCATTTTCTATTTACGATCACAATAAAGAATTTACATCAACCGATTAACAAAATGTGTAATTTAGTGCCTAAAACATCGTTCTGAGTAACGCAGCATCGAAACGTTATGTTTATTTTTGATAAGTACGATTTTAAAAATTTGAAATTCGAATTTCGCGCGAAAACCCGGCATGGCTTGTGCGCGTAGGGTACGTTCTGTCTTGTATCAGTCGCGTACGTTGTAATGTGTCAGTCGCCGTTGGGAAGTTAACGATTGATTGAAGTGTATATACGTATTATTTATATGTTATTTATTGTACCGTATGAGTGAATTAGTTATTATCAAATTTTGTGCAACATTCCTTTAGTTATGGATCAGCAGGGCATCCTCCAGGTTGGGACTAGTATTAACATCAAACGAACCGATGGTAAGTCACATTCGTTACAAAAACTGTTAAAACATTTTTTGAGAAAGGTCGTATCGCGACAGTTCCATAAAAGCCGAAGTCCTTTTCGCCGCAAGCCCTGCTGTCAGTCCCAGCCTTTTTTTCCAGTGTACTTTCCGTAAAAAAGGCGTTTTCATTGACAGTGTTCAGCATTTGCATGCCAGAAAAGCGTAAAATCCTCCCATAACGGCACAAACCTCTCCCAAATGTCGATATTTTCGAAAATAACGCGTTTTGTCTTGTGTTAGCCGTTTTTTCCGTCTTCGGCAATTCGAAGATCGAGCCGGTTAAGTATAGTTCGTGTCATCGAAATGTCACAGTTTTTATAGTCTATTTTAAGCTTTGCCTGCTTGCTCTCGTAAATTCGTTACATTCTGCTTTTTTCTCACACAATTAAAATAGACAATACACATTATAGAACATTTCATGCTGACAAGATTGGGTTCAAATCTACATGCAAGAACCGTTCTGGATTTATCGATTGCGATTCGAAAACGACCCATGTGGTAGTGTTTATGTGGGTTTTGTGATTCATTATCGAATTACGAGCAAGGTAGACAACTTGCCCCTAATACCATTAATTGAACCATCACTAGACACCCATGCCCGTAATGGTAATAATCCGCAATGCCCATTGCTGAAATTCGTCTTGGTATGAGTCACCTGTCGAGAGAAAATAAATATTGATAAGAAACGATTGAGACGATTAAACCTTCTTTGTAACGCCGCTGTCTTCCAAATTAGGCGATTCAAATGTCTAATTAAGACCAGCGTGAAATGTGTTAAAGATGACAAGTAAAAAAACTTATCTACGTAGGTGATAACGACAAGCACCATTTGAAAAACCACCATCTCTTTTCTTTCTTTATTTTTTTTTTTTTTTTTGTACATCGATTATCTCGTTACTCGTCACAGTTTGCCGCCTTGTCGAAAACAGGAATTATAATTAAATGTCAAACTCACGTTACATATCAATCTATGATCTGTAGTAAGTCAGCGGTTAATTAAAAAAAACTGATGATGACTTAAACGACAATTATTCTATACAGGCACCCTGAATAATTGATGTATGGACATTGATTCATTCAGTTTTTATACGGTTTTGTAGGGTCAACCCTGACCTTACGTGTTCGAATATGGAAATAATTGCACCAATTTTCAGCGATTAGCTTAATCTGCTTTCGTTCGATTTTCGATATATTTTATATTTTGGGTACCACATGACGGAACCATCGAGGACAGGGTGACGCAAACGTGAATACGATGGTACCTTATATGGTTTGTACAGTTGAGGCAAGGTCGACCTACCTGGAAATGCTCACAGGGCTATTGCTATTTACTATGGTCTTTATACAGAAATTTGACAACGAGTGGGCACGTTAATGGGCCATTTTACATTATTTACACTTTTTTTTTATTAAATTCTAACTATTGTGTCTTCTGCTTTAGTCGACGAAAGTCTATTTGAAATTTCTACATGTGATGTTTTTAAATAATAACAAAACGGGGACAATTTTTTATCAAAGCGTAGTGATTAAACTTGTCAAATCTTGTCTAACACTACAATTCTATTTATATTAAGTCGTGTCATTTAAAATTTATAAATAATGTTGGTAGTTGACCATGGAAAACATCAGTACGTGTTCAAGATCAAATTGGTTCTATTTTTTAGACACTGATATAATAGCTCGAGTTTTTTTTCGAAATTTCGTAATTGCACATGAAAAAATATATGTGGGCATTACCGCAGTTTACGTAATGCTTATGCTGTTATTAAACAGGTTTTCGAAGTTAAAATTATGTCAAATCTATAGAAAGATGAGTGTAATTTCTTAAATATTTAAAAGGAAGAGAAAAATGTATTTTAATAAATAGAGTTATACGCAACAGGTAAACTACTTGAAAATTTAATGAGCGTATTACCCACAAATTCCATAGATATTTTTATAAATTACATGAAAATCTTAAAACAATAACAAATATTTTAGCAGATGGCAGTTTTTTCACATGTACACAAATTAGAAGCTTCATTTTTAACAAATTGGATTAGGTACTTCAGTTCGTTGCTATAGCGACAATGTACACTATAATTTTTTTTAAGTAGAGTCATACCATTTTCATATACATGGTAATTTTTAACTATGTTAAAAAATCCACGAAAAGTTTACGAAGACAATATATGTATGTATTATTCCAAGCATTTAGTAAGTGTCAAAATTGAACAAAATTTCAATTGTCAAATATGTGGTGTCGTGACCATGTCTGATGTCAAAAAATATAATTGCATTGAAGTAGTGAGATTTCAAGCCGTATTTTTCCTTTTGCATTTGGGTGTGCCATCAAAAAGTTAAAAACAAATATGACATTTACCTCTTTTTTTTCAAATCACTTGAAAATTGTTTTTTCCGTTATACTTTGCGCATGTGACGAGCATCAGACACATAAATAATATACTATTATTCACACAGTCTTTTCTTCTGTAATCTAAATCACTGTTATCAGTGTTATCACTATTAACATATAATTATTGTTTGCTACATGAATTTATACATTTAATCTGGTAATCTGAAATACAGACGTGTCCTACACAGTTTTTATTTCATCTAAAAATACACCCAATTTGTAATATTTTCATATATTTGAGTTTAGAATAAAATTTTATGTATTTTGATTCAAAAACTTGTGTTGATTGAAATCTAATTAATTATTATTATATCAAAACTGTTTTATATTTAAGCATTGTTAACACCACTAAAAAGGCAGCAGTTGTCAACGACGTCATGGAAAATCAGAGATAGAAGTTTCACTAATCGCAAGTAGTTAATTATCAGCATGTTTCCAGTAACTGTTTGTATTTAATCTTAACAAAACATGTGTATCGATTATGTTAGTCATAGTATCACGTAAGTCACCTATATTTACCTATACAGGGTGATGAAAAAAGGACATTTGAGTTCGATGGTACGTTATTAAGAAGGTTGTGAGGAACCCGAAAAAAGTGATTAAAAAATACCAGAACTCAATACTTGAAAATATTAATGACTAATTATTCATCTTTGAAGTTTAATACATATTTTCAAAAGTTTAGCGCAAGGATTTTTTAACCATTTTTTTGAGTTCTGCAGAGCCTTCGTAACAACGGACCATCGAGCTTATACGTCACTTTTTCAACACCCTGTATATATGTTTTAGAAAATGAGTAATTGTCGAACAAAGAACAAAACTAATGGGATAACTGTTACTCGCAGCTTCCATATTTTGTGTATATTCCATAAAAAAAATTAATTTAAATGTACCGTCAATCTGGAAAGTTATTAGGTCTGGAACAACACTCGTTACGTTCGGAAAATTTTTACGAGACATCTGACACCATGTAAGAGATTTAAATACAAATAAAAACAAAATAAAATCTTCGGTCGATATCTTGGACAAGAAGTTTTATAAATCTGTTAAAAATCAAGCAGCTACCATCCGATCATATCATATGATTGAGGTTAAGTAGAGCAATTTTTCATGGTGTATGTCAAAAATAAAATTATTTTTCTATTTGTGTGTATGCCAAATCTGTTCTTATATGCACGAATCAATTTTTGAAGTAAACGTAGACGAAGAAACTTCAGGGTATATATTTGTATACATTTCGAAACAAATACTATTAGCACGAAAGAAATCGATATAGCTGCCACAGTTACAGTTAACGTATGCATTAACACAAACATAAACGTTATTTATACAGCGCAGATAGTGGAGACAGTGTAACAAAAATGTCAATATTTTTTGGTCCAAATTTTATTATAAATTACAGTTGTTTGCACAGAACTTCCCTCACAAATTATTTATAAATTATTTCATTTCAACGAAGGTTCAGTTAACAAAATTTTGCGACCGAGCACCATACAAAAATAAACTTGACTTGTGATTAAACTTAATTTTTACAAAAAAAAAATTTAAAATCTCCAATACAGATCAAAAACAGACAAGTAGGCGCAGTTTGAGTTTTATATGCATCTACTTCCGTTTTCACACACACACACACAAAATATACAGGATGATAAAAAATTACGTCTAAGCTCTATGGAACGTCGTTAAGAAGGCTCTGAAAACCTGTAAAAAATGGGTAATAAAACCCCTGCACCAAACTTTTGACAATATCAAACTTCAAAGTTGAACAATTAACTTCGTAATTCTGATTTGTTCTGTACCACCGAGCTATGTGTAATTTTTTTCATCACGCTGTATATACATTGACCAGATTTTTTGTTTTGTCTTTGATATTTTATTATGTATGTTTCGTGTTTCCTTTCAGGACGTGTACATTCTGCCATCGTCGCCGCTGTCAACTTCGACCTGCGGAGTGCGACAGTGGAGTGGTTCGAACAGGGAGAAACAAAAGGAAAAGAAATTGACATGACAGCTATAGCATCCCTAAATCCCGAAATCATAATCCTAAAACCTGGAGAACCGTCAATTCAAGAATCACAACAGAATCAACCACCCAGCCACAATTTGCAAAAAGTAAGTACTGATTTATTTATTTTTTTATCTTTTTGATTTTGTGCCTTCCGATAGGCTGGTCAAGGTTTTACAGGATGAGTAATCGTTTAAATTACAAAATTATGTAACATTTTTCATTCTGTTTACATCGATTTCTATTCAAAAGTTATTCCGCCTTAACAAAGCTAGCAAACATCATCAATCACGTGGCTCGTTTTATATAACTTTTCATTTTTCGGTTTTGCCAGATAAAGAGGTCACTCAACTCTTTTTATTCTCAATAAAATTGGTGTGTTTGGAGGTGAATCAATTTGGTTAATTTCGCCCTGCTGCCGGTAATGAAATTGTTATTCCTCAATGAATTTGTCTCAAGCAGGTAATTGACCTCTATATACCAACTGACGTTATTCATCTCTGGTTTCTCTCGTAATGCTCTAATTAAAAAAAAAAACTCAAGTCGATATTCTATCGGACGTAATTATAAACGATTATTGGACTAGGCGTAGCACAACTTTACTCTTAATTGTCGTAGGTGTAGCAGACTTGTACCACTTACTATAAAGTAATAAACCAGACTTGCGCAATAAATATTCAACGTTTTTACAATGTAAATATTTTTTCTGTGATGTACAGATGACTCAATTCGTTAGAAATATTTTAGTTGTCTTCAAATAATTTTTGGATAAAATGGAATTTCGAGTTAAAAGTACTGCAAAATACTTGTTAAATTAAAAAAAAAAAGGTTATTACAACAGCATTTTTAAAATATATGTTAGTTCAATAATTTTGAATAAATGTGTCACACTAAAATTTTCGACTTCTGCGACTCTGTTTGCAATAAAACATACAGTACGTGCGTCTTGATATATCAAACAAGTATCCAAATTTTGTTATATCGTAATAAATGTTCAAGCTTGCACCACTGACTACTTGTGACACTAATGGTGAGTATGAGTATAAATGCTTCCAGTTGATAGTTGTATCATTTCTCGATGAGTGACAGTCGCAGATTTTTATAATTATTAAAACAACATTAAAAACTCGATTTTTCTAATAATAGTTGTAATAACAATGATAAAAATAATCATTTTGAATCTCTTGAAAGTGGCGGCTTCTTCCAACGTATTTATAAAAAATAAAATGTAAACTGTGGCTGTAAATTAATATTAAAAATTCGTTTTCGATTTTTTTTTTAATATATATAATAATTACATCACAATAGTAATAATCTTTTTTAGTAACTAACTCCTTACACATGTAAATATAAAATATATATTCTAAAAAAAAATCATTAAAGCTGTAAAAAGTCCAGACCTTTATAAATATTGTAACAGTAATATCAAATAATAAATTAAAAACTTATAAAAATGAACTTTTAGCAATTTATTGGAAGGTACAGAAAAAATACGAGTGTTTTTGTTCCACGTAAAGAAATTCTCTATTTTTAATAATATATATATTGTATATTAATTTTAAATTGCACTATGTTATTGATTTATATAAAAAAAAGTTGAGTTGAGCGAGTGAAGTTCGCGACTGCTTCAGTATATTTTATTTATACAGCTTTCTCCTTGCATGATGTTTTACAATAATGTAAACTGTTGTATTTTCCATATTGGTTTTATTTACATCTTTTGAATTGTTATGATCGTGTAATTCAAAAAGTGGCGCGAAAGTCGTATGTGTGGGTATTGCGAATTTAATTGCGATATGTGACAGCGTACTTTTGTTCTCTTTGTATGTGTGGTGCCTGGCACTGGACTTGAAAGGGTTAATTGTACTTTTCAAAGTATTATTGATTGTTCGTTTTACAATATGTCAGTTATTCAGCGGCAACAGCGGCAATTTAACGCTGTTAAAAACGGTTTTTGCCAAGTGTGCGTGTTTGTGTGTAACGCAGAACTAATAAAAATTTCTCCCTTTAATGCTGCTAATCGCAAAAGGATTCTTCTGGTTCTTCTGATGAAGAAACTAGTGCTGCAATGGCACAATCGGGACGATATAGCCATAAATTGGACGAAAGCGACGACGATTTTAATAGTAATCAATTTTCACCAGAAACGGCAACATTATCGGTATTGGACTTAATATTTTCGTGAATGTTTGAGACGATGTTAATTCGAGTTTTGTGTTGCAGAATCCAACAAGACGGTCCATAGCTAGCGTCAAATCTAACAATGGTAAGTGTTTTATTGTTATTTTAAGTAAGTTCTACAATAAGCTGAGTGGTGTCATTTACACTAACCATACTGTTTTGACCTTTGTGTTTGTTTATGTAAGGGAGTTCAGTAATGCGCTCATGCACCTGTACATGTAGCTGGGAAGATGTTTAGATAACTTCGAACGACTCGTATTGTTTGGTAGTTAAATTTTGGCTAATTTTAGCTACTAGTTTTTATTTATTTTAACATTCGATAACGTTAATAATATCGAAAACAAACTTGTGACATTTGACATTACGCAGTATAGGAAGGAAAAAACTCGATTATCACACAAGCAAAATTAACCGTTAAAACTGTAACGGAACGATTATGACTCTGAGATTTTCGCAAGAACCTATTATATGTTCTGTTTATTTGCATAATAAATTCGTTAATTGTTTACTGAATGAAGTAACCGAATCATACGAACATGACTAATTGCGTTTTCTTCTTTCGAATTAATGGAATTGTAGTGTTTTTTGTTTTTGACAATGAATTCGCGTTTAAATAATTAATATTTAAAACGAAAATAGATAGCGGTCAGTAGGTTTAGGACGCTCAATATTTTATCGACATCTTTGAAAAAAAATCCAATAACACAAATGTGTAGGTATTATTATCAGTCAGTATTATTTTTAACATGATAATTACATAGTGTGTGGACAAATAAGAATTTCGAATCTGTAATCTTCAAATAAAGGAAAAATACGAAATAGAGTTCTTTCATGTTATAATTGAATTATTTGTATCGACGCAAGTTTTAGGTCACGTGACTAACAGATTTCCCCATGAATTACAAAAGTCGGTAATAGGAATATTTTTGTGTAGACTCTGATTGATCAATATATTCATACGTTGCATGGCAGATAATATATCAACATAGATAATAAATAAATAAATAACTTTACCCGTTTTTGTAACGGTTTTCTTAATATGAACACTAGTGTTTAAGTAAACAAAGCACAAAAATTGTTAAAGGAATGTTTAAAAAAAAGATTTTTCCTTACATATACAGGGTTTCATCATTTATGATCAACACGGAAATGTTTTTTCATTCACAAAAGTCGCAATTTTTATAATCAATATTACAAACCGTTTATCCAAACATTTCATTTTTCTGGGTTAGACGCAAATTGAGTCTGCGCATTTGTATGTTGTTCGTTTAATTTTTGACACATGCACACATTATTGTATACGTTTTTAAAAAATTTAGGAAAAAGTTGATGACGTCACATATCATGACAAATAACGTCGACAAAAACAAATAAAATAATTGTTTGTTATTTTGCAATTTGTGTTTTTTCAAAATGCTTTTGGTTTTTATTTTATGAATTTATTTCATAAATATTTTCGACACTTAATATTTACACTCATTATAGAAGTTAATTTTGCAAGCAATAATTTATTTTTTATAGTAGTAGTCTTTTTTACTATACTTTAATCGGATTTTATGTAAAAAAAAAAATAATAAACAAAAATAAGCTCTTGTTTGGATGTTAAAGCTTATAATTAATTATGAACATTTTTCATTTTTTAAGTAGGCAACAATATTTGATTCATAAGATTTTTGTGTATTCACCTAATTAAAAAAAATCCACTTGAATAAGGATCATGTGTATAAATAATTAAGTTTATTATATTAATGCAGAAAAAAATTCCTGCACCACAGGTTGTTGGTAATATTTTTATGAACAAACTACAACTTACGAAAATCACTATTGCACGAAATTTAATTTAAATTTGAGAAAGTTTAGTCTCCCCCCTATCGAGAATGTAATAAATATTTTCCTGTGTTTGATATTTGTTGCTTTTGTGGGTTTCGTATCTTATCGCTATTATTCCAAATGACAACCCAACATAGTAATTTCTTTGGGGGTAAATGCAGAATTATAAAATGTGTTTTTCTAGGAGTTTTGCGACCACCACAGCAGACTCGGACTACTAATCAGTTGTTTGTGTCATCTAACAATGGTCACACCTTAACTTCAAACGAATCAAATATACCCACAAGTCGTGCGAATATACAGGTGAGAGAAAAATACATTTTTTTCTTTTTAAATTACCCGTTTTCTACAATTAGAACACGCGTCGCAGTAATGTCGTTAAAGAAGTAGAAAAACTAAAAAAGAACAGAGAAGAGCGAAGACAAAGACAAGCAGAAGAAAAGGCCGAGAAAGAAGCGTTCCTTCAATTAGCTCCCGGGAACCCCCATTGGGAGTTATTAAATATGATTATGTAATTTGGACTTTTATTTGTGTGTGTGACTTGCTGTAATTGCATTTTCGCAGGGAATATCGGCGTGGTTTGGACATCAAACCACTGACTGAAAACGATGCAATTGAAGACCACTTAATCACAGTTTGTGTGCGAAAAAGGCCTTTGAATAAACGAGAAATCACAAAGAAAGAAGTAGACGTTATAACTATACCAAGTAAAAATCAGCTGATCGTGCACGAGCCTAAAAACAAAGTAGATCTTACGAAATATTTAGAAAACCAGCTCTTTAGATTTGACTACGCCTTCGACGCCACGTGCTCCAACGAAATGGTCTACAGGTAAGTCAAATTTTGTTTTTAGTGTCGCACGTGACAGTCTACTTGCCAATTTCTCATTCAACTTAGTCTTTATGACATAGACGGTCTATTTATATATACTACTTCATGTAGGTCTGTTTTAAAATCAAATTATGTCTGTATGACGTCACAGACATCAGCTAATTGCCACTTTGACAAACAATTTTCCTATAAGCTGCAGTGTTTACGTTTTGGTCTTTAAATTTAGTGCATCGGTTGTATAAAAATATTTTGCCTGGAAGTCATACATTGTTGACCACAGTCGCACTTCGAAGTATTTTAACGAAAATATTTCATTGTGTCAAATAAATTTTGCTAATTTTTTTTCTGGAAATAAATTAATCGTCAGTGCCTTTGGAATATACTAGAACCTTTTCACTTTACACTAAGATTTGATAACATTTATAGTGGACTAACTTTTCGATTTTAAATATTTGCAGTATTGCCACATTTCCGGAGGTAAGTTGCACTTAAGCTACACTTAACAAAAATTCAAGATTTTAGACGATGGTTTTCGATGTCTAAATGCAGAGCAGCTTTACTAATTTTGGTTATAAAACTAGAATTGAAGACAATTTGATGCAAGTGACATTTAAGGGTAAAACTCGGTCTACATTTTCCTAGGTTTATGACTGACATAAAAAATCTTCGTTATTAAAAATATACAATGCACTTTTTGGTTATATGTCAGATAAGACATTTTATACGTAGGCAACTATAATTATGACTAGTTGATTTTAATAAGTGGTAATTTCATGTAACTTTGTTAATGTCTGCAGTTAAAGAGACTTCCCATCACAAAAAAATAACCCAAAATCCTTATTTGACAAGAGTCGCGTAAGTTAAATTTATTGCAGTAGCATAACTAGAAGGAAAAACCGTATCTCATGTTGTGTCTTTTTTACACTGTTGCATAGAAGATTTTCGTTTTTACAGGTATACGGCGCAACCTTTAATTAAGACGATCTTCGAGGGCGGTTTTGCCACCTGCTTCGCATATGGACAAACGGGTTCTGGCAAAACTCACACAATGGGCGGCGACTTTAACGGGAAGAGCCAAGATTGTCACAAAGGAATTTACGCCATGGCAGCGGCCGACGTCTTCAAATTGGCGAACTCTTCAAAATATCACCATTTGAATCTCGTAGTTTCGTCTAGTTTCTTCGAAATTTATTCTGGAAAAGTGTTTGACCTGTTAAATAACAAAGCCAAATTACGGATACTCGAAGACGGTAAACAGCAAGTTCAGGTCGTCGGATTGACCGAAAAAGTCGTTTGTTCGACCGACGAAGTTCTAAAGCTCATCCAGAAAGGCAATCAAGCGCGCACGTCTGGACAAACATTCGCAAATTCCAATTCTTCAAGGTCACATGCAGTCTTTCAAATTTATTTGCGGGCGAATAATAACATGCAGAAGGTGCACGGGAAGTTCTCGCTAATTGATTTAGCCGGGAACGAGAGGGGTGCGGATACGTCTTCAGCAAACAGGCAAACTAGTAAGTATTGGTATTGTTTGTGTAAATTTTTACTAAAAGAGTTTTTCGTAGGGATGGAGGGTGCTGAAATAAATAAGTCTCTTCTGGCCCTGAAAGAGTGCATAAGAGCGTTAGGAAGAAAGGGTGCTCATTTACCGTTTCGTGTGAGTAAATTGACTCAAGTTCTTCGGGATTCTTTTGTGGGTTCCAACTCCCGTACGTGCATGATAGCGATGGTTTCGCCCGGAGTGAATTCCTGTGAGCATACATTAAACACGTTAAGATACGCAGACAGAGTTAAAGAACTTGGAGGCGGCGACTTGCAGACTAACACTTTATCAGATGAACAACAAGGTGATGGCGATTTACTGCAACTAAGATCTTTGAATGTAAGTTGTATATTTTTCGAAAAGTGTATGTTAATTTGATCGTTTCAGGAAAATGATATGACCCAAGAAATGTTAAACTTTCATCAAGTAATCTCTGAACTGGAAATTGGCGAAGAAAATATGTTAGATAATCATAAACAAACAATCGAAGAACTATTGGCGACTTACGAGAAAGCAGTAGCACTATTCAGGATGACTGATGAAGTGACTTATGACCAAGAAGGTTAGTATTATATTATTACTGACAATATATACTCGAAATGACACTTTTCAAATTTGACGTTTATACGATGCGCGCGCACATCCAGTCAGCTGTTCACGTTGTCTGTTACGCCACCGAGCACACATCGTATATTGATTTTTGGTATCAAATCATTGTTTTTTTATTTTTGTCAGTGACATTTCAACAACCAATTAGAAAACAGTATTGTCAAATTTTTTTAACTTTATGCGTGCGCAATCAGTGATTGATTACGTCAGTTGATTTAATTTGAACACGTAACTTTTCACGGTTACTGAATTTAGAAACGTGAAAAAATTATTTATAAATAATAAATATTTTACTAGTATTCGTATGACCAGCTTGTTACTACAAACGTATTTTTTTTAAGGATATTGCAAGAACTGGGAAGAGCTGATTGACAACGCGTTGGCTTGTTTAGTAAGGTCGAAGGAAGTCGTAGCTGATTACAAAGCAAAGATGTCTGCTGAAGAACTATTAAGTCGCAAAACCAAATGAAAGTACTCACAATAATTAACTAAATTGTATATTTGTCTTATTTTTTATTGATTGATTGTCTTTACAGTATTAAACTACGTGTTTTAGGTTTTTTTTTTTTATCAGGAAATGAATTGAATTGAAATAATGTAACGCTCTTCAATTTAGTACAAATTCCTGTTAACAATTTAAAGGAATAAGTACAGTCTCAAATTATTAAGTCTACTATTTATTACTTTTTATACTTGCAATTAATTTATTTGTAGGCCTCTAAATTGGTGGTATGTGGCCGTAACTTATGCTTTAATAATTTGACTAATTGAAAGACGTTCCTCTGAATGTAAAAAACGAACAACTTTACTGTCCATAGCCCGCATTTTATTATTCAATATCATTAATTTAATTATTAGGCTGTGCTATATATATATATATTTTGTTCTTACAAGAAATGCAGGCTATCGCTACTTTTAGTTTCATTCTGTTGTGAAATACCTATTGCTTAGTAATGTTGAAAATTAAAAGAGGTGCATAATAAAGAGGCCTTTTTATGAATGTATTGTATATTGTTATTTTAATCGAAGTTTGGTTCTGACCCTTACCATAAATACTTTGTCTTAGAACACTCAAATGTCATGTTTATTTATATAAACCTGTTTAAAAAATTAAGTTTGTGAAAACGCAACCAGTTTGCTTAAAACAGTTGAAAAAAAAAAATCGTAACAAGCTTGAATATTTACTGTAACAAAAATACCGCATTATTACAACTTGTTTTATTCACAATAAATTGTATACAATATTAAAACATTTGATTTAAAATTCAACCTAACCTAACTTGGCCAAGTCGTTAAAGTGGCACACTATAATCTCAGCTGCGTGCCCTCAACATTGGCACTATCACCATCAAGCACCAACATTTGTGTGCCTTGAATATACATATCTAAAATTTGCAATGTACAATGTGCTATAAATCGAACAAACGGTCGAACGTCGCCCACATTTGCGACGTTAAGTGCATCATAATACTTATCTCTTTGCTCTTTTAAAATCATTATTGGAGGATAACCACCACGCAGAAGAATCAAATTCATAATTAATCTACTTGTGCGTCCATTTCCATCTACAAACGGATGGATATCGACTAGTTTGTAATGGGCTAAAGCTGCGTATCGCACCGGATGCATATTCCTAGCTTCCTCGGAATTTAACCAGTTCACGTAACTCTCCATTAACTCCGGCACTTTTTCAGCTGATGGTGGAATGTGGCGCCCAACAAATACCTACAATGTTAATTATGACTTTCTCAAACGGTTGAAAAATGAAAAAGGTGAAAAGCGAAGAAAAATGTTGCTGCCTCGGTGGGAATCGAACCACACACTCCCCGCTTGCCGGCAGGTATCCTGACCACTAGACCACGAAGCCGCTTATCTTTCTTCGCTTAAATTAATAAATACATACTTTGGTACCACGGAATACACCAGATGTGAGAGGGTCCACGTGTCCCATTACCCTCTTATGCATCTGTAATATGTCATCAACGGTAATATATTCCTTCCTGGCTAAGCTTTTCACATACTTTAGTGCCAACTGCAAACCCAAAACTTCATTATGCTCTATTATACTTTTTCCTTGGATGACTTGTCCTGTCTCTAGCAAAGTTCGCAACTGCTCTACCGTCATAGTATTACCTTCAATACCAACAGTATGATAAATATGTAAATAATAAGCTTGTTTTTTCAGAGTTTCAAAATTGTAGGTATCAAATTGCTTCTTCAAGTAGTCTTTCTTTTTATCTATACTTTTAAATAATTCTAAATCCAGTCGGTCCACCACTGGAGATGTTCTTTTATGGTTAACTAAAGCAGCTGCATGGGTTGGCGAATGTGTGAGAGCCTGTAAATAATATTAATATGTAAAAATTAAAACTAAAACTGTTACTTACTTTAAAATATAATTCATCTGCTGTAACCACATCATCTCGTATTTGTTCAAGAAATTCTCCATACCAATTCAGCACGTCCGGATTATCTGGAGCTATAGCTGTTGCGTGTTCCAGAAGTTTAAGCGCTTTGTGGTCTTTTCCAGCTAGTTTAAATCCTATCGCCGCTTGTAATATGTTAAAAATTTCAGAATTTGTTGACTTTACATTAAAACTGGCACTCTTGTCCAAGAATGTGGTATCATGTGTTGGTGAATGATGAGATTCCAGAAGGGCATTTAAATTACTTAGGATAAAATTCTCATTGGAGTGATCTTCGATGGCATTAAATGAGTAACTTAATGCGAAATTGTTGTTTGAATCTGTGGCTATTAAATCTTCGAATATCGGTGCGTAACTTGTTTCTTTTTTGTAAAAATTATAGTGTAAATAATAGTGTTGGATGATTATGATTAAAATGCACAATAAACAAATTAGTATAGAAATAATAAATAAAAGAATGTTACAGTAAATCTTCATATTACGTGTCTTCCCAAATTTTATGTTGATTTTCTGCTGTAACTTCCATTATAAAACATATGATTGATGAAAAAATTACACGTAAATTAAAATAATTTGTTTTTGAGGTTATACATTTTCGCCCATTTTTGATTTTTGACCATTTCTTGACATTTCTGAAATTTTGACAAGTAATTTAGGGATTTTTATTTTATAGTGTTGCTTTGGTGACTTTTCATTATTTTTACCAAAAATAAGCGAAATTTTTAAAATTAGGCCGTCTTCTTCATAGAATGCTCGCAAAATAATAAACCATTTCATCTTATGCCCTCACTCTACAAATATTGTTGGTTGCCTATATACAATATAAATGTTACAAATATAGAATTAATAATTCTATGGTTACAAGCAAAATGTACAAACATTTTAAAATTACAAGAAATAAAAATTAAACAAAAATTTGGACCTACACCTCCGTTCACTTTTAGATGCGCCTGTTTTTGTCATTTTGGGTCTATCACCTACCTGCTATACCAAATAACGTTTAAATTTTTGTAGTGTTGAAATCCTAACATATTTTGTTAACTCGTTTGTTGAAAAAATGTATCGTGTGATAAAAAGTTCTCTATGACATACGTGAAGATAAACGTTATTTTATTTTATCAATAGTAGAAAAATATTTGAAACATTGTGTACCTATTTTACATACATATACACTTACCTTCAAATTTTGTTTTTACCCGAAACGTTCAGATTTTGGAAAAAAATCAAAATTATAAAACAACATTTTGCAATGTAATTTTGAATCTGCAAAACCGAATGCTTTGAAATTTTGCAGATGTTTTAAAATTATGATAAGCATGATAAATTTTTAATCAAAATATATTTGCTTAAAAAAATTGATGACGTCAGTTCAAAATTTTACACAAATCCTATCTAAAATGTTCAAAATATGATTTGTACTTGTAATTTCTCATTCTATTCATAAAAAAAATCCATATTCGTTAATAAATTATCGACTTACTATTTTTCTAAATTGAATATTTTTTTCATTTTTAAATACAATTTGTTCATTTTGCTTTAAATAGAAGTGATTTTTTTTAATAAAATTTATTTTAAAACAAACTAATGACTTCAAATTCAATCACATCAAAATTTTCGGGAAAAAAAAGCAGCATTTTTTTTGTATTTTATTGCTTACATTAAGAACATGTTAGAAAATATATAAAAATTTTTAAATGCGAAAACGAGTAAGTATTATTGAACAACAAGCTCGAATGGGGGCTGATAAAGAACACCTCAGTCATTGGTCCATCTATCGACTTTGGTACAGACCAATTCGTGGAAATTTGCAAACTCTTGCGAATAGTTTGTCGCTCCATTTGTTCATGCTGGTGGAGGAGGAGGTGGAGGTGGAGGTGGGTTGGGAGCGGTAAGTGTTGCTCAATAAGCTCTGAAGTACAAAACGAGATTGTAGATTAATAACACCCGGTATTTCAGTAGTTGGTTAAAATCAGGGTTAACTAACCTTGGTTAAATTTTAACCAAAACTTTAACCAAGAACCGGTATTTCAGTGTCGAAAATTTGGTTAAGTATATTCTGGTTAACTAACCATTATTTCTCTTAAGTTGGTATCGTAATTGGTCTACCAGTTGAAAAGAGCATGTGCGAGGATATATTCTTTCATATTTTGGTGGGCGTGTAGGCGTTTTTATAACCTCACTTTTGCTTTATTTACATTTTGATTGTGAAAGTGTTGTTTCTTTTTAAGTGAATCGTGTGAAAAATAATTTAAAAAAATGGCAAATATTTACTCTTCTAGCGATAGTGACTCAGACGATGAGCAAGTTATTAATTTTGTTGTCCGCTTGGGACGAATTCGCAAAGTTCCTAGAATACAGATACGAAAGGACCATTTTAATTACTGGGACGACCAAGAATTTTATTGTAGGTTCAGACTGTCAAAAGAATCTGTAACAAATTTGTTACATTCAATTCATGATGTCATAAAGCATCCGACAAATTGGTATAAAATATACAATTTAAAATAATATAAGCTGTTTAATGAATCTATTTCAGGAATCACGCTCTTACATCAATGGAAATGTTGTTAATTACACTCCGATTTTTCGCGACAGGCAGTTTCTTAATTGTAATTGGAGATTTTGGAGGTGTTCACAAGAGTACTGTGGGAAAAGCAATAAACAGAGTGAGTGAAAGACAAAACTGGTCATAAAAATGTTACCTATGTTACAATAAATTGAAGGTTACAAGAGCTATTGCAAATTTGCGGGAAGAATACATAAAATTTCCTCAAACAGAAGAAGAAATCTCTATAGTGCAGCAAGGTTTTTATCAACTTGCAAGATTCCCACGAGTTGTTGGTGCTTTAGATTGCACACATATCAAAATAAAGTCACCGGGTATGTTAATAAGGTATTTTGTGTTAACGGACATTAGTATAGAAAATTTTGCAGGTGGAGAAAATGCTGAAATTTATCGCAATCGGAAAAATTTTTTCTCCCTGAATGTGCAAACAATTGCTGCTTCTAATTTAAAAATAATAAATATTGTAGCAAGATGGCCCGGTTCTGCTCACGACTCAACAATTTTTAGAAATTCTGAGATTTGCAGAAAATTTCAAAATGCAGAAATGGAGCGTGCAATACTTGTTGGGGATGCAGGTTACCCTATTCAAAATTTTTTAATGACGCCATTGGCAGTGACAAATACAATTGCTCAAAATTTATATAACGAGTCACTGATTAGAACACGAAACCCAGTTGAACGTTCTTATGGTGTTTGGAAACGACGCTTCCCGATTTTAAGCAATGGCATAAATCTACACCTACGAATGGTTCCCTGGGTAATTGTAGCCACAGCAGTCTTGCATAATATCGCAATTTTAAACGACGAAGATGAACCACCTCCCTTAAATCTCGAAGAGCAAAGAGCTTTTGATTTGGCAGATGATGTACCAGTTGCTGATGATGTAAATAGAAATAATAACAACAGAGCAAGAAATGAATTCATTGCATATTTTGCAAATTTGTAAATTTACATACATAATGTAGAAGTTTATAAATTATTTCTAAATTCATTAAATGCAATTTCAGCTCATGTTCCGCTCTATGCTTTAGTTGGTTTAGTATTTTTCATTGTTCACATCACTTATGTATTCATCTAACCAAGTAAATAAAAACAAAATTATATGAAATTAATTTATTATATCTCACTGATTTACTGATTATTATCAACATCGGAGAACGTGATTTGTTGTTTCAACAATGTCATCCTTAATGCATGCTCCTCCTGCATTAATTTCAATTTTACACAATGTTCTTCTTCACGATGTCGCAGTTTTTGCTCATGTTCCTCCTGCAATTGGTTCTTCATTATTGCATGGATTTCCTGTTTTTGCTTGTGGTCTTCTTCAAGTAACTTTTTTTTGAAAACTGAGTTGTTCCTTTTCTCGTCGGCAAGCTGACACCATTTGTAATTAGTAATATTTCCACCCACTCTTATTTTACCTGCGGAGTACATTTTATTTTCAAAGTTACTTATTACTATTATTAATTATGTCAAATCACCTTTCTTTGAAACATGTAGTGGTTTCGAGGGAAGCTTTTTTAACATCCTTGGAGTGTATTGTGACCAGTCTGAAAAAAAAAATAACCATGTGTTTAATGTTTAACAACACTTTATATCTTACCTAATTCATTTTCCTGCGTATCCCCCGGTTGTGCAACTACGTCTTCTTCTAAAACTAAAAATAAAATATATATTATAATTTTAATAACAATTAATTTATTACTTTGCACTTACCTAATTGTGATGAAGAGGCACTGTTTTCTGTGAAGAAGCTGTTTGACGTCCCCATATTCTCTACAAAAAAGGTGTTATTATGAAATTTACAAGTATGTATATATTTTTTGTATAGCTACCTTCATTTTCAATCTCTGGGACAATTGAATCCTCAATTTCATTTCCGTTTCTTATTTCTTCTACATCTAAAACTTAAGAATCAATTATAACCATGTTGTTGTTATTTTAATGTCTAATAAGTGATAACTTACCATCATTATCACACACCGCTGGTAAACCTGTCAATCTGTCTCCCAAAATTTCGCGGACAGTTGCGTCTACTGACGTCTCTGTTGGGCCTTTGGAGGGACCACCGCCAGTGCCTCGTGCGTATTTTTTATCGTGGGCAAAATTGCGAACTGCGGTTTTTTTTAAATTTGTCCATTTGTCTTTTAGATTCCTGGACGTTCGAGGCACGGTACCAGAAATGGCATTAAATGTTTCTGTCAACTTCTCCCAGGCTATCCCCTTTTGCTTATTATTGACGATTCCAGTTTCTTTGCACTCGATCACCTTCTTGTTTTGTCTAACCAAATCTACAAGTAGGCAAATTTCTTGTGTTTCAAAATTTTTTGATCTAACACGTTCACGTTCACTGTTCATCCTGTAGCTTTTATTATATACTTAACAGAGAAAAAAAACACAACAACAGGCACGAGGTACACGAGAAAACGAGGTTAGAATGGTGATTAATAACAAGAACAACTGTCAAAACTGGTCTTCAAAATGTCTCCCAAAATTTCGCGGACAGTGGCGTCTACTGCGCATGTGTTAACCAAAAAAATAATGGTTAAACCACCTAGCTGGGCTGGGTTAAAGTAACCAAGAAATTTAACCGTCAAATATCTTAACCCCACACTGAAATACACTTAACCAAAACTTTTTTTGGTTAACTATAATTTCTTGGTTTAACCAACAACTGAAATACCGGGCCTAAGCTGGGTTGGTGTGACGGGTGACGTGAGAGCGATCGTGTGAAAGCGGCTTTACACGGTACAATCTTTACGTCAAACTAATTTAAAATAAACAAAGTAAAGTTGACCATGGAATAAATCTGAAGATGTACAATAATTTAACCTTTTTATGATCTAGATTTTAAGAATAACATAGAAAACGTGGTCAAAAATATGCTGGTGTTTCAGAGCGCAATGGCAGCATGTACTTACTTTTTTCACAGCCACCTTGGGGTAGTCTTAGGCGAAACCGTAACACCAACAATGTGATGACGTCACCTCAAAGTTCTATTTAGAGTAAATGGGTTTTAAATTGTGTTAAATAACATACACCTATGCGCGTAGTTTATGAATCCGTATTGAATTTTTACCCAAGACATCCAAATTTTTGGGCAAAAATCAAAATTATAAAACAATATTTTGCAATTTAATTTTGAATCTGCAAAATCGAAAGCTTTGAAATCTTACAAATATTTTAAAGTTATCGTAGGCATTATCAAAATGTATAAGAACTCTGTTTATCCCTCCCAAAAATTTCATGACTTATCAAAATTTTGCCCAATAAATTTTATCTAAAATATGAAAAATATTATGACTATACTTGTGGTTTATCAATGTATTCATAGTTTTTAAATTACTTATGAAATATATTTAAAGTAGGTAACCAACGGGAAAAATGTATTTTCAGTTTCTTAGTAGATGGTTAACTTCGACTGTTTATGTGTATACTTCAAAATAATTCGACTGTTAGCACGTTTAGATTACCAGCAGCGGATTTGTGCTAAAAAAAAACGAGATTTGTGTGATTTTGTCTTCTCCGTTTTTTTAAGAACGCCAATATAATGATATCATCATTTTGAGTATATTAGTTATAATAATTATCTCTATTACTTTGTTGTTATTGCTTAATGTTTGATAACGTTGATAGAACATTGATACTTTTCATATCTACATACAGACGTCGGTTATATAACGTTTAAGAATTTATTTGTTTTGGCATACAATGATTCAACAATGCTATATTTAAAAAGTTGTATCATGTGACAGTTCGTCATTTTGAAAAAATGATACGGCGTTCTTCAGAGTGTGGTAATTACTTTAGAGTTGTGCACTGTAACAGATAAAGAAAACTGGTTGGGGTCAGGTATCACCACATTATCGAGGCCGTGCATTATTACTCCTATATTGAGAACTCTTTGGAAATCATACAGAAATGGTGTTTATATTAAACATAGAGAGGAAAGATGAACAATGACGAAAAATTTAATGATGAGATTGTCAATTCGCACCCGCGTAATTGAAATGAACCAATAGTACGACTGCAAATCGAGGAGTACGAGTACATGCGCAGTACATCTTAACATAAAAAATTAAATTAAAACAATAAAATAACAATAACTGAATTATTATTTTAATTTTTGACGATATTCTTTTATTTTAGAGGTTGCATTTGCAACACGTACCATATACATCTGTAGTAGTATCCAAACACCTGCAGTTTGTACAGGATGTATAAATAACTTTCTAATTTATATCTTATCTGCTTTTGTTACGCAAAAAAAAAACAAAAACTAAAATACACCCACGTACACAAATGAATCAATCATAGCTGCACGTTTTATAAACAAACAAAAATTGCGATTTTTTTTTAATAAACACGTGGTCATCGAAAACAAAATAACTGGGATGAATAACCCCTCCGGTCATTTGCGCACGAGTCGCCCATGGGCATGCCATAAATAGCACACGCTCAGATGGCGAGTGTACGCACCTCTTCAATTTTTACGACAGGTGACACTTGACGTCATCGTGTCGAATAAAGAATTTAGCAAATGCAAGCGCGAATTGCTTTAATAAATAAAGAATTTCTCAAGAAATAAACGTTGCAATGTTAATAGACGTCGATACATCGGCATTTCTGCAAATTTTTCATTGCTTTATAATCCGCCACAGCCACCTGCGTTTCTCGATCAGATAAGGATTTCTGATCCTCCAGCCACGTTTGATTCACCTGGTCGTATACCCAGCGTCCCAAAAATCCGACAGAACGCAAATTAATAACGCAAAATCTTGCGCGATCCTCGTTCTTCGTGCGTGATTTTTTACAGAGGCTGAGTAAGGAGCAATAACTCGTCGGCACAAAAAAATCGCAAGTCCGTTCATTGACTCCGCAGGATTGCCAAATTGAAAATTTAGCTTTTAGCAACAAAGAAAAAAGTGCAAGCGGATTTTTGTGATGGAGTAAGTGAAGTAATGATGTCACACAAGCAACAATGTGCATAGTGCATAGTTGCATTATAAATGCATCAAGGCCTACGTGTGGAAAGCAGTTTAGATACGGAAGGCGAAGGAGGTGCTCTGTTTGTCGCGTCGGGGAGGACATCAAAACTGACATCGTCGAATTGTTGGTTTGGTAATGTTGGCAGAACTGTCTTGCGCGCTAGTCTGCTATGGCGTGTTATGCTGTGTGAAATCGGTGAATTATTTTTTAATTGTTAAAAAATGGGTTTATAAAGTGGTTTATTTAGTTCAAATGGTGTTCATATATAGTGTTAAGGGTTGCGTTAGTTGATATCGACCCATGTGTGCTCTGGAATTGAAATTGCACTCTCCGGCGGGGGCAGAACCAGTGTTATACACTTGGCCGTTAACCTCAGGACGAGGAAACGTAAGATAATAATTAGCGCCTTTGTTTTCGCCAGAATGAGCAAATTCAGCCTCAAAATTAACCTCAAAGTCGGCCCAAGCACGTAACCTCAATTCCTCAATACAGAATCACGGTTCTACAACTCCACTTGTTCGTCATTAATCCGTGTTTTACTCACGTTTCCCGGAATTATTACACACACTAGTCATTTCGTGTCATTTCCTCATTGCGACCATCAATGGGTATTTTCGAATCTTAGCGGGATTCAACGAAAATAGCTTGTTTACACAAGTACACGTAAAAAATCCTCTAAAAATAAATCACCTCGTGCGAGCGATCCGTGGGAGTAGTACACACTCAAAAATCATATCATTGAAAAAACAAACGCTTTCCTCAAACTAAACAAAGCGACTCAAAAGCACAACGCAAAACACACACGTGCCGACTTTGTTTTGGTCAATTTAAAAACCTTCAATGCCAAGTTTGACCCACTCACTTCATGTCCTTACGTTATTCCAGTCCTGAATTTCTCAGTGCCAGGCTCGCTTGTGCACCAATCTGTTGCGAAATGACGATAAAATTTGAAAAAAAAAAGCTATGAATCGAAAGTTTTAACCGTTTATTGTTGTAGGATAAGCATGATGGTGCCCTTGAGATTGTTGAAACCATCAGGTAAACATCAATAAAGTGCGACTCTCGACGGTCATACTCGATTTTTCATTTCTAGATGGGTTTGCGAAGATCTGCCAGAGCTTAAACTGCCGTTGGAAAACAACGTACTCTGTGATTACAATACTAAGGATTATGAAAGTATGAAGAACCTCTGTGATCGGTTCAATCGCGCTATTGACAGTGTCGTGGCTTTGGTAAGTGTTTTTTTACAACAGTTCTAAGACGTTTTCTCATTAATGCAAACGAGATGACTAAAGGTGGAAGTCTTTGTCAACAAGCAGCTTTGTGGATTCAGTTTTCTCCATTTTCTCCCAAAATAGACTATTGATTATTGGCACGGCGAAAATACAGACACCAAGGTGCTTCTTAAAATAACAATGGTTTTGCTGTGAAAACATTTCTTTGTCTTCTCTCTGCATTTCAATTTTAAACTTGTCAACTCATTTTATTTGCATAATTTAAGGTTTCTATAGGTTTTATAAAACAAACCCTCGCAAACATCTATAATTGTACAATAAATCGTGTCATGAATAGAGATGATTTCAAACTTTACATTAACGTGACAGGGAATATTAAAGCTTGTTATTTATTGGCGTCTAAGGTTTTCAATTTCTAAGTCCAAGTCGAAGTGGACCATGATTTACCACTAAGCAGTCAAAGTTGTTGAAGAAAAAGGTTTCAAACATGAAATTATAATATTTTGTAGGGTTCCACATGAATTATTAAATTCTTTGAAAAAACAGTGTTTGTACGTCAACTGAATCTTTTAAGCATGTGAAACCTGTTGAATATTGCGTTTTTGCTCGTCTAATAAAAGAACATTTTTGACATGCAAATGTAATTTGATTTTATTTTTTTTTTTTGATAATGTGAGTTAAATTTAACGCACAGCAACATTGATTTAGTAATCATAGAACACCCACTAAAATTTATGACGTCACCTGAAATAATAAATCAGTGTTGCTAAAAAAATGGTTTGAGAAGTGGTGTTAAAATTATATTCACCCCAAGTGGGTTTGACATATAGGCACCATTCGTTATTCTTCCAGACACTTGGAAAGTTCGATGTAGTACATTTTCGATGAAAGTTAAATTTTATTAACTCGAAATGTAATGCTAATGTGGTGTTGATCAGTCTCTCTGTAGTGTATTTCATTATAGATATTTTGAATGAGAGTTCCTAGACATTGTTTTCTTTCAGACAAGGTTGCTACTGTTTTTAAATTTCAAATATTTGCTTCATTATGCCTAATGTAAAGGAAATGATAGGTGGTGGTGTTTTTTAATGTATTGTTCTATTTAAAAGTCGAAAAACACGACTGCAATCATCTAAATCCATATTACATTAAACCGACACTCAGATGTTTAATTTATAGTTACTTCGTAATGAAAAGCTTCGTTTTAGTGTAGCTCGAATTTAGAATTGGTTTTGTCGCGGTATTTGTGAGATACTGAGTCCTTCTGAAATTTTTTTTTTATTACTGTTTATATGCTTCACTTCAGAATAACGTACTTTTGTTAATTATTATAGCAGTTTCTTAAGAAAAACATCTTTATGCACCTTGACTCCCCCCCCCAACTATTTTAATGATGTCGGAATAGCTGCCCAGCAACTCAATACTTGAAATCAGTATTTCAATATGATTTTCCTGGGAGTCATATTCCAAAAAAAAAAAACTGGTTTGGACTTCACTGAGATTCGAAGTCGGAACATTGAAATCTCGGTTTAAACTGTTTCTAGCCTTTGTTTTTGGTTAAAAACGTAATCGTTGCAGCTTTTTAGAGCCGCTACTAAACAAAAATTGTTTTAGACGTAACTTAAACCCGATTTTTTCGCTACGCAGGAAAAAGGAACATCGCTAACCGCCCAGCGTTTGAACAAGTACCCATCCAGAGGTCTTCTCCGCCACATTCTCCAACAAACCTACAATGCTGCCGTAACAGATCCCGAAAAACTAAACCAGTACGAACCATTTTCGCCTGAGGTGTATGGCGAAACATCCTACGATCTAGTTTGTCAAATGATCGATCAAATCGACGTAACTCCCGACGATGTGTTCATTGATCTCGGTTCCGGCGTCGGCCAAGTTGTCCTACAGATGGCGGCGGCGACACCTTGCAAAATATGCTTTGGTATCGAGAAAGCGGAAGTTCCTAGTCGATACGCAGACGCGATGAATAGATATTTCCGCACGTGGATGTCGTGGTACGGCAAGAAGTACGGCGAATATAAGCTGATACGGAGCGATTTTCTTACCGAAGAACATCGCGAGAAGATCGCCGAGGCAACGATCGTTTTTGTTAACAACTTTGCGTTTGGGCCGGCCGTGGACCATCAGTTGAAGGAGAGATTCGCGGATTTGAAGGACGGAGCGAGAATCGTGTCGTCGAAGAGTTTTTGTCCTTTGAATTTTAGAATTACGGATAGGAATTTGAGCGACATCGGGACGATTATGCATGTTTCGGAGATGTCTCCGATGAAGGGGTCGGTGTCGTGGACTGGGAAACCGGTGTCCTATTATCTGCACAGAATCGACAGGACTAAATTGGAACGGTACTTTCAGAGAATGAAGAAACCGCAACAGAAGGTAGGTTTGGTCGAAATATGAGGGTAATATGAGGAGAGTGAAGCTTTGGCTTTTGGAAGATCTTTTCCGATGGGAGTGGTACCGTTACGTTACGCTGTGGTAAAGAACAGTTTATAGTTTATTATGAAGTCTGTAAAGGTCACGTTTCTGAACCATCTTCCTTCCTCTCATGCTACCTGAATGGGTCTGAAGCTAAAGGTGTTACGAGTTCACGTCCCTGCTCTTGTAGAACGGATCTGACAATGAGAACAGTCGGAACGCACGTGAGAAAGCTAAGAAAGATCTTTCCAAACAGTTGAATTCGTCATCGGATTCGGATTTCGATGACCAGGATAGTAGCTATGGTCCGACAACGCGAAAAGCGTGGTCGGACTATTGCTCAACGAAAGGAAAGAGTAGTCAGTCGGAGGAAGAATGTACAACTAAGGTAAGTATATGGCGCGTTAGTTCGTCTTCGTTAACCCTTTTTCAGAATGGTAAACGGCAACCGAAGAAGCTCCGAAGAAAAATCCAACGCGGGAAGAACCAAACCCAAGCAGAAAATAAAACACAGAAGGCAGGACCAAGGGCCCGTCGAGGAAGAATGAAGAAGGGTAAACCGAAGAAGGCGATCAAGATCAACGGTTTGGATTTGCTTCACAACGAAACTCTTTTGAGTACTTCTCCTCAAGGTACTTTGTTTTACTATTCGTGATTTGTATTTTACTAATTAACGAATGTTTAGCTATAGGGAAGAAACTTCCACCTGCTCCTGGTTGCGTCGACCAGCAGTTAACCGCATTGAGTACCGAAATGGTTCATACGGAGTTGGATATACCTCAAGCTCCAGCTAGCACACCATACGGTCTACAAATTCTTCTTGATATGTTCAGAGCCCAGTATGTACAAATGTTAAATCAAATGAAGCAACCCACTTACAAAACCAGCGTCGAAAACCATATCAAACAAGAAAAGGAACGCAACAAGAAATTGCAGAATCGGGCTGCACAGTTAGAAAAACAAATTAAAGTTCTTATAGACGATAGCGTCGCACTTTTGAAAGCTCGGATGAGCGAGCTTGGAATAAACGCTACTTCGCCAGTCGATTTGTTGGCGAAAGCTAAAGAAATCGTTTGCAGGCACAAAGAACTTCAAGCTAAAGCTAGTAAATTACAAGGGCAAGTAGCTAGTCTTGAACAAGAACAAAATAATTTGGTTTTGCAACGGCAACAAGAAATCGTAGAGAAATACAACGGTAGAGATGCTTGTCACGAATTATCACCAATAGCTGCTCAAGAATATATTCTCCGCGAGATCTCGTCAACTTTGGCGCATCGTAAAAAGTTACACAACCAAGTTTCAAGATTAGAAGGTGAATTGTTAACTTTAGAAAAACAAACAGAAGAGAGAAAACAAGCGCAAGCGTTGGCTTCGCGTCAACAACAAACAAACGCGAAGCCGTCTCGAAAATCACGCGATTATAGAGCAAGGTCTCAAGATTGGCCCGACGTCCCCGATATTGCTAAAATCGAAGAACAGAACCCGGAGATTTTAGCACAGAAAATATTGGAAACCGGGCGCAAAATCGAAGCCAGTAAAATGTCGGCAAATTGTGGCAAAGTGATGTCTGGTACAAATAAAAATAGTAGTCATAGAGGTATAGTACGCAATAATATGCCGGCACCTTTACCGGTACCAAAACGTCAAAAAACAAACTACCCTCCCACGCAGAACACGGCGCGATCGCAGGAACCACCACGTTTAACCGATTTCGAAGATCGCTTGAAAAGCATCATCACGTCGGCTTTAAACGAAGACCAACAAAATCGAAAACGAGCGCAGAACCAAGTCTACAACCAGCAGCAACAACAACAAACTTACAATATGACTTTCCAAAATCAGTTCAAAACTGAGGAGAAACAAAAATTTGCCAGTGGTAAATACGGCCGCTGCGAGACTGTAGTCAAACAGAACGATGAGCGGAATTTCGCACATCAAGAGGGCTTGGCGGGCATGATGGAATGCTACAGAACAGAGGTTCCGAAGGTCTCTCCGCACGTTTCGCGACAAGTCCAGCCGGAACAACCCGACTATACCCAAGTTTCGCCCGCCAAATTGGCTTTGAGGCGGCATTTGTCTCAGGAGAAGTTGGCGGCGCAACATCATAGTTTCACCCCGTCGGAAGGAATAGTAGCGACGAGGACGATCGGCGATTTGATGTCCGGCGAAATCGAACGGACCTTAGAAATTTCGAATCAGTCGATCATCAATGCCGCCGTCGACATGAGCGACATACAGGGGACGGCCACGCTATCTTCACGATCGGTTGTTAATGCCAATCTTCCACCTCGTCCAGAGAGGGTCAAGGTGCCAAATAACGAAGTACAGAAGAAATCAGAACCGATGAGACAGGTCTACAGTCCGATATCGAGGCCGTCGTCTACAGAGGGTAAGTAATTTCAGCGAAATTTACATGTACATCGTAACAAATTATCACTGATCGGAAAATTAAAATGCCAAAGCCCGCTAGTGATATTGCAAAATTAATAAATAAAAAAAAAATCACGAACGTTAGTAAGTTAACTTCTTGGCCAAGTATTTCGTATTAATGAAAAACTTGAAATATTCTCGTCGTTGACACTTTGACGCGGTAGAGATCACACAATTTAAGTTAAACATGCTGAGGGCCGGTTTATCAATGCTCAGTTAAAAGTGTCTGTTAAGTAACTGTCAGATAAGGGTAACTAGCAGTTAACGGAGGTAAAGTGTTTATCAATGCACGATGTTTCTTCCAGTTTCGTAGCTCGAAGTTTAGCTGTTACTCTCTTAAGTTGGTAACGCTCACCCCACTGGAAATGAGTTGTGATTGGTCAGTTCAAAACTACCCCGACCTTGAAAGTTCCATCAGATTCGATCCGCATTCGGTATTCAACAGAGACTTTAAATACATAGACTGGCTGTTAGTAACATTTCTAATGCATTTTGGTGAAGCCACGGCGCATGGTAGTATGGACGCCATTGCTATAACTTTTATGTCAAATTAAGTGAGGTTGTGGTGGTTAGCAGCAGTAGTTTCTAGTACAGAACGTTTCTAGACCTCGAAATAAAAGTGGTTGTGTGTCGGGACTTACGAGATTGTTTGTAAATAATAATAATTAAAAATGATTTGGTAACTAAAATGTTTGCCTTAACTTTGCGAAGTAGGACCATACATTTTTTTTCTACATAATGAACATTGTTTAGTATGGATTACGTAAATAATTCTTATTTTAATTTATTGCTTAAATTAATTTTGAGAAATTATTTGACTCTCGGAATAGGTTATGAGTGCCGCTTAAGTACTGAGCGTGAAAAAGCTATCTCTTTAAGACAAAAATTCACGAAATTAATTTTGTTTCAAGGACATTAATATTTTTAAAGGAATTTACATATACATATAGATAGTCTTATGCTAAATAAATAATTACAATTTGTTGTCTTTTTTATTTAACAATTTAAATTGCATTTTGTGACCGGAAAATTCAAATTTCGCGCACTTACGGTTATAAGCAATATGGCGGTCGAAAAACTTCACGTTTTTCCTGACACAGCCAGTCTATCTATTAAAGTCTCTGGTATTCAACGATTGTATATCGCGTTTCACGTGATCAATCATGAAAAAGCAAAATTTAGCATTAGAAAAAAAGTATTGGAAATTAAAAATGAAACAAGTAGGTACACCTATAAATAAATAAATACAGAGAGATCGAAAAAGAAATTAGTCAAAGTTGGCCATGCACGAAAAGACGTTTGTCTTAATTTAAAATAATTTTTTATTAATCGTCACGTTGAGAAAAGTAATTTGCACTGTTATCAAACGAAATTAAAGCTTTTTTGTTATTAGAATCTTCTGAAATGGGATAAATTTTAGACAAAATTGGAAAACAGTGATTTTAATTCATTCTTATGTGTTTTAAAAGTAGGCGTCATTATTCTAATTTTAAACTGTCAATTTGACATTTAATAAAAAAAAAATAAATTACCCTACCACCGTCATTACGGCAAACGGCTTGTCGTGCATGGCCTACTTCGATTAATTTCTTTTTCGATCTCAAATCAGACTTTTGAGAAAATAATCAGCTAATAATAAGTGTTTTTCTCATCTTTTCTCTGTTAATTTGTTGCACAACATAAGTCCTCATTAAAATATTGTTAAATTCATAACAGATTTATTTGGATTTGTTAGGTTATGTTGCCACTAACTGGTAGATAACGTTTTAACTGACAGTTTGAACTGTCAGTTAATTTATCAGGCACTTTAACCACCAGTTTTGAGCTAGTGGGTAATGATAAACAGGTTAACTCACAGACAAGCTTTAAGTGCCAGTTACTTTAACTTAACTGCGCATTGATAAACCGGCCCTGAGCCTTACAACCGGGTGTGACGTGCGCACGTAGAAAATAGTTCAATTGCAGACCCGACGCACTTTTTACTTCTGCGCATGTTTACAATTGTGTTGACTTAGATTGAGCTCTAACCTTAGATCATATAATAAATAGATACCACCATGCCGTGTTCTTTCCCTAGCAGAGCCTGTGACGACATCCGCCTGTCACACATCTCTCTCGTGCATGGAGAGATTACAATGAAGCTATCCTTGCCTGATCACTATTTGAATTTTGCGCGCCTAAATTTTAGGAAGTATGTCTGAACTAACTTCGTACGAAAGATGTTGACAGCTTGATTTTATAAATAATTCACAGTAGATAATGAAAGGAATAGTAAATTATTGGGCAGCAATTGTGATCTTTTATGATTACATCACTTAAAATAGGATCTTTGTTCTAAATTCTAAAATTGTTTTTTGTACAACAACTCGAAAGAGAGGTTAGAAGAAACATCTGTCAAAAGCGATTTGTTGCGCTGGTGCCGCACAAAAATGGAAGTGAAATAGACATATACAGATGAAATGCATATAACAAAGATGAAGATGTGGTGATCACACAAGGATAGCATTATACTACTCCTCTTGACGTAGAAAACGACAACAGATAGCTTCATGTCTAGTCACAGCTTTCAGTTTGAGTATTGGTATCTATTTATTATATGATCTAAGGCTCTAACATGTTATAAAGAACATAATACAGTTATGGCATAGTAAAACTTTTAAAGCAGTTGAAATTTGCTCTTATGCTTCAATAGCAAGTCTTAAAATGATTAAAAGACTTCGTCATGCGTTGTTTTTTTCCAGGTTTGGAAGGTCTGGCCTATACTCCTCTTCCTCGCGCTGATATTCGACCGTATCACGAGTCGTATTTTACCGACGTGAAACCTCCGCTCGAAGGTGAACCAATCCGTAACAACTTCGTTGCCGAGGGTTTAGCGGCGAGTTTGCAAGCTCGAGTGTTGAGCGGGCCTCAAATTAAAGAAGAAGTGGACGTTTATGATCGAAGGAGTTACGTACAACAGAACATGTTACCTGCTATACCTTCATATCAAGACCAGAATGATGCTATAAAAAGCGAGAGTATCAGTGATTGCCAGTACAAAAGAGAATCGCCTATAATTCAAGGACCGATTCGAAATCCGCTGAAGAGAAATTATGAAGCCCATCGGCAGGCTTTCGTTAATAACGTATCACCTGAACCACATTCGAACACTTCGACGCCGTTGGTCGATGAAGTTCAAGAACCACCTCGCGTCAGGAAATGTAACGAAGAAGGTAAGGTTTTTGTTTCGCTGCGATTTATTACTAGTGATTTTGTTTCTGGTATATTTTTAGTTTAGCAGTTTCTTTAGTATTGTAATATATTTTCTTAAGTAGTTAATTCGTCAGTTAAGACCTGGAGTTTTTTTTTTTTTTTTTTTTTTGTTTATAGTTAGGTAGAATTATTGCTTCTGACAAAATTACTACTAACACTTCAACAATATTTCGTATTGAGTTTTTGTTAGCTTAATTGAAATTTTTTGATACATTTGAAATTTTTATCTTTAATTACCAACACTAAAATGAAAGAAGCCACTTGTGTCATACAGTTTAATATCATTTTTCTTAACTTTCGGTTGAGGGTTCATGAAGGTAGCGCTTTTCTTTTATCGTTTTAACTTGTACTAACAAATTTCCGAATTTGTCAAGTAATTTCAATTTGAGACAGTCTCCTATTTTGTTTCTGGCAGTGCAATCAGTTTACATTTTTTTATAGTTAGAGATTAAGGTCCAAAGTACAGCGAAAAAATATTTCAGATTTTTGTCACTAGATAAAAGTGATCTGATCTCTCAAAAAATACGCAATTTTTGTCAGAAAAAAAAATGACACTTGTCGAGAAACACTTAATTCAGACTGAAATATGTGTGTCTGAGTAGATTTTAGTTGAATTTACAGGATTTGGACTTATATTGGCAAAAATGTAACGATTGTGTAAGTTATAGAAATATTAAAATTGTGAATGGTGTATATCGTGTGATAACTTGTATTTATTGGAACTGCGTTATAATTTCGTTGCGCATAAAGTGTCATTTTTTCCGAACGAAGTTATAAAAAAGGTTCGATGGTTATTATATATGTATATACAAATTATACATATATAATAGATGTTGTGTGTATTTTTTGAGATGGCGAGCTTTAAGATAGTGTAAAATTTGTTCCAGTAAAGTTCGTGTAAGATCCCTTTGTCGAGTGATGAAAAGTTCGGCAATAAACACAGCCAGGGTAAAATTGTAAGAAAAGTGTTACATTCTTTTTATTTTTCTCTTTTTCAGAGCCATTGGTCGGACGTGTAACGGCCATCTTCGCTTGATTTATTGCCGAATAGTTCCTCACTCGTCAAAGTAACTTTAGCACATACGCTCTCATTTCAGGCGTATGCGCATGTGTTTGGTGCTTTTAGGTGATTAATGAAAGTTGCGGTCCACCAGAAAGTAAATATGGTACAGAACTGTGTTTAGATTAATGTTTCGTTGTTGTGGATGTGGTTCGAAATCCGAAATATTTTTTTCTTTTCGTTGTCACTTGTGGGCGATGCGGTGTGAGAGTAGCTTTAAACTGAACGCTTTTGCTTGATTTTTTACAGCACATGATTTTTTATATATATATTTTTGATTGCTTTTGAATTTTCGTTTTCTCTGTACGTTCTAGGACTTGTTGTGGTGTTGGAGTAAGTTTAGGTTAATTAGTTTAAAGAAAAGAGAGAGACACATTATTGCACGATTAAAACTTTTGTCTCGTAGTTTCGGCCATACTAAATTTGGTACGAAAAGTTTTTCGTGTTATAATGGTACTTGGTGTTGAAATTCTTATATTTACTGTAGTTTGTTTGCGTTGACTAGGAGGCAGCACATTCAGGCATGCACAATCACACGCGCACAATATAGCGCATGCATAATACCCCTACCATACTAGATTTAGATGGCTGATTAAGTTTGGTGGTAAGTAGCTTTGCGCTATTATTTTCATTTTGCTGAGCTCTTTTTAATTATTATCTTGGTGATGGTATTTTTGATTGATTTCGATTCAAATCCCATTTGATTTCATTTTGTTTCCACAGTGTTGGTACTTAAATTCAATTATTTTTATGTTTATTATAGGCATCTTACCTAACCTCACCCCCGAAAACAATTCAATAACGAATAATCTCTCTCTAGATGCCGACGTTGAGGAAGAAGGCGAAGAATCAAAATGGCAAGATCGGATCAGTTCTGGTTTCGATCGTCTGGTGGCGTTCGCTTCGACCGAACTGGATAAACGGCGACGGTCGACCGAAGGTAATGACAGTTGTAATACGTCACCGGATTCCGGTATAGGGCACGGCGATTTGCCCCCTTCTTCCATAACGGTGGCCCCCGCTAAGCAGGCTTTGAAATTGAATCCGAATTCTAAGCCTTCTTTGTTCAAAATGCCAAATAAAATTTACTTGGAGAGCCCTCCGATCGGGGAGGGGAACGACGACGGTCCTCCGAGGACACCGTCGCCGTCTTCTCTGAGTAACGTTCCGTTAGACTACAGCCCAGAACCACCAAACGAATTAAGTCAGCCGCGCTTAAATCCGGCTTTACTTAAGTATCAAAGAGAAGATAAGAAAGTAAAGCCTGATCAACACTACAAAAAGAAATTTTACTACAGGGAACAGTGGAGGGATGATTCTTGGCAAAACCGAGGGCACGAGAGGTACTGTTCGTGGAAAAATTAAATGTTGATGATACGTTCAGATGAAAAGGCAGTTGTTTTTTTTTTATTATTATTATTATCTTCTCATTCGTTTGCAATGACGTTACGATTTCACACAGCAAGCAGATCAGTGAAGCGGTTAGATTTCTACTAGTTAATTTACCTATTTTATCTTTTATTTATATTATATTATTTATCTCCGTCAAAACTATACAACTTGATTTATACACATTTTTGTGGTTTTGAGCTTTACTTTTTTAAACTTAGGTAATTTTATCAAAATGGTAAAAGGCTTCTCACACACGTTTAAATATTCGATTGTTTTAGCTTTTAACGAAACTTCATCACTATGTGTTCATATGAGAAAATATTTAATCGTGTGGGGCAGTGACCGCGTCGGGTTACACCATCATCAGGTGTAAATTCGAGTGGTTATTCTAGCATTTCGATGTTATGATAGATGCTCACAAGTCAATTACATTTCCAATTCGCTTAACGAAATCATGGAATTTGAAATTTTTGGTTGATTGGATTCCAAACGGGGACCAACTAATTCAGATTTTATGATTGAGGAGGTAGTGAGAAAATGGACAAGATTTATAGCATCGATTGCTTAGATGTGTAAATGTTTTCAAATTATTAGAAAATTTTGTGAAGTAGTAAAATTGTAAATTTACTTTTTCTAGAATGTATAAATGGAGACTGTAACTTTGTGTTCATAAAATGGGAATGATTTTAAGGAGTTGCATTAATTTATTCGATTACTTGTAGAGTATTTTAATTTTTACTAACGTATTCAAGACAAACACTGCCTAATAAATCTCATACAAATGTTTTCAAAATTACTAAATAATTTATTTGTACATTGTACATATGTTTTTAGCATTAGGACTAGTTATTTAGGAACACCTTATTGTAAAAAGCATAGTTAATTTAAAACAAGAGAGAAACATGGGTTACGTGAAGCGATTCAACTACCTATGTTCTGTATTTGAAAACCGATTTTTACGTACAAGTGTAATACTGCCATTTTCACAGTTCATAAATTTTTATTAAAAGTATTTGTCATTTATATTGAAATAACTGACTTGTACTTGTTAAAGTGTTATGCTTGTAATCGTTTTGAGAAGTAGTTCAAATCGTATTGCACTGTTCGACATCATAAAACACAAGTCTCTGTGAATACAAGATTTGGAGGCTTTTGACATATGTGTACAAAGTTCGGGAAACTGTCATTGCAAACTTTTTTTTTATATATATCTATATATATTTGTATATACAGTTGTCATTACATTCGGTTTCAATACATATTTTAACTTTTTGCAAAAACAGTTTACACCTTTGTATCGACTTTTGATTATAATTTTCATGGGCATCTTTCCAAAAATCATAAGTGATATTTTATCGATTTTTGTACAAAAGTACTTTTGTTATTATTGTAGCCGTGTCTTTATTGATTCATTTGTTGTCATTTCTCATTATATTATAGTTTATTTTTTTAGTGCTAATCTTTTTGATGTTAAAACTTTTTTTGAAGTTTTGTTTGTTAAATTTTATTTCTGCGTGAACTGTACACACTATATTATTATATTCATTTTTGATGTTTGAATGCAATCATTTCAGTCTTTATTTCCCTAAATTTTCGATTTTGGCATGTTAAAATAAATCGACTCATCATCTCATGAAACACATCTCGCGAAAAGCCAAAGTTTTATCTACTAATTCAATACTTTGTGACTGAATTTTTTTTTAATCTTTGTAAGAGTTCAGTGGTCAAAAAATAGAAAAGGATAGCTCTCAGGATTACTATGAATGTGAATAAGACTAGGGATAGAGTGTATGTTACATGTAAACAATAAGTTGGTAATTATGGTATCCTTTTAACTGCCATTAATTTAATAAACACTTCTATGTAACCTTGAATTATTAAACCTACCCCCAACTGCGAATGAAACATTTTCGTAATTATATTAAATTTATTAGTGTATCTACATGTTATTAAAACAATAAGAAATTGGAACGAACATATTGAAGTCATATACAAAGTACCAGTTAATATTACATAAATAACACAGATACTACTCTATTAAATTTGTGAAAAACTATTTTAACTGTAACAAAGCCAATGGTTAAGTACAAGCTGTAATGTGATAAATAAGACGCTCTGTCAGATTAATCAAATGTTGGCTCGCAAATCTCCAAGTATACTAAAAAAAGAAAAAATATATTTACAATACAACCTAACAACTCGTGAGTCGATGTATCTGATATACTCCAGTAAAAATATACATATATATATAACAAAATTATTATATATCGTGATTTTCCTTTGATAGTTCACGTCCACATGTGATCACATATAATTTAGTAATTTGAATAACATGCTGTTCAACACAAAAGACTAAATACTGAGAGAGATAAGAGTACCATTTTGTTGAACAGTATTAGTATCTTGTGTTCGTATTTTGGTTTTGGCCAAACTGCGACTGCACAGCTGCTGCAGCTACATTGCTAGCCGCGCTTCTAACGTGCTGGTTACGAAGGAATTCAGTCGTGAACTCTTGCTGAGCTTTGGCTAAACTAGCTCCGGTACTTCTATACATACGATGAATCTGAAAAAAGAGCGCCATCAAACTAAAGTTATTTAAATTTACGAATTGACACCACGTGACCAACAACTGGTGTGACGTCAGCTTTAGGACTTTGTTTTGTGGAAGTCTTATTGGTACTTAATCCAGTCCAATTAATTTGACTTCTTAATTTACAGTAAAGATAAAAAACAATTAATAAAAGCGATAAAAGATTTGTTTGATAAGAGATGATTACTTTGTGCGCATATTTAAAAATAACTTTGTTACCTTTGTGATAAGGAACAAGTCCCCGGCCGCAGCACAACCAAAACCAGCTGCGATAATCAAAGCCAAAATGCCTTTGATTATGTCCCAAGCGCCACTATCAAAAGTCTCGATAGCGGTTATCACTCCACTAAAAAAAAATATTTTTAAATTTATACATTTTACAAAAACTGTGACGTCATACATAGTTCCAGAATTTTGGATTCCAATAGCTTGGATGGTAGTGACAACAAACTGAAAGAAAAATATGAAGAAGAACACCATAAAATTAAATGACGAATCAGAACGGAATGCTTTATATGCTGGTCGGAACCAACACAAATAAGAAAATGGCGTAAATAATATTGTATACAAAATCCCAAGTCCAATTATCTTAAAATCTAGTAAAACAATTCCTCCTAGGACGTTTAGTAACATGATTATACCATGAACTACAAAAAAGAATTAATATTGAACTAGCAATAGTCAAGGAGACTCACATATCCAGAGATAGTACAAATGACGCACTATTTTTTGAAATTCTAAAGGTATATCAACTTGGATATCTTGATAAAAGCAAGGTTGGAAACAGCATTGTTCGGGAAGAGGCGGCCAGTTATTGCGTCTAACGTTGTACGAGGACTGACGCATTTCTTCTTCTCTGCGAGCTAATTCTTCTTCTTTACGCTCTAATTCTTCTTGGCGTCGCTAAAATAATTACATTTGTCCAAAATTATCATTGTTTTTACTACTAAAAATCCAGCATATCATACACACACCCAAAATCCGCACGAAATGGCGTTGTACTTGAGTAAAGCGTAAGATTACCTGTAAGTCTTCTGTATTTAGGGCGGGTTGTGGTTCATGAATTTGCTGGCCACTTTTGGTGTACGCTGGTGGTTCTTGTGTCGGCTGCATGATTGCAGGTGTCGTGTTGGGCTGATTGTAACCCATCTACAAGACAAAGTGTAAACATTGTTGTTATGAAATGGAATGGAATGTAAGCACTCACAGGCCTTGTGTTTTGGGGTTGATTATCGAACGGGTTGTAATCATTAACATTAATCTGTGCATTGGTGTTTCTTGCTACCTGTTGTACCGAAGGATCCTAAAACAACCAAACAATAAAATGCGTCATTATTTAAATATTTTATGTTGTTGGTAAAATTAACACCATCATCATGACAGTTCCAACTCACCGCAAAAGGGTTGTCTATTGTAGGCTCACCAAATGGATTATCGTCAAAACCCGACATTTTTACAAAATATTCTTTCTGTATTAACACCTGCTTGCCAAATTTTTATTATCTTATCTAGAAATCCATTATCATGCTTGACAGGACACCATATTTTGCCATATAGTCATTACAATCGTGCTCTTTTTTGACAGAATGCAAATGACAGATGAATGACTTGCGCACGTACACTCGAGCATAGAATAACTGGAAAGATGATACATAGCGACTGTTGCCACAGAACATATACTATTAAACATATAGATGTAAAAAAAACGTTTTGTGTTTTAAAATACGTTTTTTCTGTGTTTTTCTTTATATACAAAGTTTTAATTGACCCATCCATAAAGACAAACCCTTCTTTTGAAAGTTATACTATATAAAAATATAGTTAAAGCTGTCATTAAAAAATCAAAAATACTTTAATTTTATAATGTCAACCTAACGGCCTATGACATGTTTCATAACCTTACTTTAAGGTGGGAAGGAAATCATTATATACAATATAAATTCATAATGTATTACAAATAGACGATAACTTATATATTAGTTGTATGTTATTAAAAAAAACAAATTTATAAAAACTTACGGAAATAAAAGAAAGAAAATTTAAAGTTGTTAAAAAAACGTCTTTTAAAACCAATAAAACAAACGGTTTTTTTACACTCACGTCACTAGTCGGTCCTTATTTTTCACTTCGGACGTCTAGATTTTTGTAAAACAAATCAAAATTGGAAAAACATTTGCTATCTGCGTTTTAAAAAAGTGGATTCCTATTACCTCTTTAAAACAGCCAGGCATTGTATAAACACCTATTATCTTTTTCTAGTTGAAGAAAGAGTGATTACAATAAATTAGGAACTACAAAACCTAATGTTTCGAAATTTTGGAGACATTTTAGAGTTATTGTCAGCATGGGAAATTGTTAATCCAAATATATCTGTTTATTCGCGCCAAAAAGTGATGATGTCGTGTCAAAATGTGCAAAATATGATGAGTTTTTACTTGTAATTTATCACAGCATTCATTTTGTTCAGATTTGTTTATACAGGTGGCTCAAAAAAATTAATGAATTAGTCAGTTTATTGTATTGATTAAATAAAAAACGGCTTACTCAGTTTTCCCAGAAAATTTGGGAATACAACACTGTTATTATATTATTATTCTAGTATTACGTAGCATGTTTCGTTGCATTTATTTTAACATTACATACATAACTATATAAAATAAATAAAAAAAAATAAAATTCGCAACATCAAATTTTATAGCTTTTCGAAAATGCTAGATATGTTTTTTGACCATTTTTTTTTCTTTTTCCTATAGTTTACTGCTGTCATTTATTGTAAAATAAAACATTGAGAAAAGCACTGAGAGAAGCAAGTTAAATCGTCCAGACAAAGAATTTTTGTAATCGGAGTGTTGGAAGTTGGAAGTGTTTCTCGCAAACATAAAAATTTTGACAATTTGCTGATTCTGGAATTTTACACACATTTTTACATTCTGAAAGAGTATCAGGGTGTCTAGGGAACCAGTGAAATTTAATGTTCTTGTTGTGTTGTGTGTTTAAACTATGGTCAATGACCACTGGTGTAAATTTAAATTTCTGATTTTTTAACGATCTATATATACGTGTTCCACTTTTGTATTATGAGTTGCCTATACATATTTTAATTAAAAGCATCTTGACAAGTTGTCAAAAAATTTAAAATTTGCATAATGTTTACACCTATTCACTTTTATATACACGCTTATTATTACTTTATTAGCTATTAGTGTATATCATGGCCAGTAATGAAGATTTCTGGAATGAAAGTTCGTCAAGCAAATTCGATTTTGGCGACGATGAAGAGGTATTTATAGGTTATGTTGTTTTCTGTTTAAGATTGTTTTTTTTTTAGGATTCATCGTATACACAGGGAGATTGCTTTGCAGCAAACGTTCAAGAAAATATCCCTTTACAAATCGACTCAATAATATCAAACAAGTGCCTTAAAATTAGTAAGTGATGTTAATTTAATAATTAGTTTGAAAGCTACAAACATCGACACTGTGTTTTCAGTATTAGATGAGACTGATTCTACAGTAGAACATGTTGTTGCTCCGGTTGAGGAGACCATTAGGCGTATGTTTCATGCAGAAAATTTTATGCTTAATACATATCGAAGTTTTGAAAATAAATTGCAATTATTAGATGCAGCAATTGATATTGGTGATGGAAATATTATTATTACTGTGAGTTTCTATATGTTTAAGTGTTTTTATTTGTCAATGTTTTCAGGTGATACTATTTTTAAGTAAAACTTTAAATAATAATAAATTTTTTACTCAACTGTCGAGGAGGAAAGTAGCTGTAAGACATTACGCTAATTATTTAATTGAGAAAAATAGTTTACAAGAGCTTGCTGATTTGTATATGTGAGTCTGCACGTTAATTAACAATTTTTAGGCCAATTTTTTTTTTAGGGCTACTGGACATATTTCCTACATGGTAAGGATTTGTATGAAATACATACATATTTTGGAGTGTTAGTCACAGCAGTGTCCATAATTGTCACAAGTTTTGTTTTTCATGATAACGAAAAGTTAAAATCTTAACATTAACGGGCTGCTTTGTAAAACAAATCTTATTGCATAATTAATGAGAAACAAAAAGTGTGAAAAAAAATTTAATTGCGTATTTTCCGTTGGTCGCAAATTTTTAAGTTTTTAACAGATTTTTAAAAGGTAAAACTGGAATTAATTTCGTTTGCCTATGGCGTCTGCGTCAACTCTTGACATGCGCAGTTAATATTAGTTATTCCTGTAGTGATTCATTGGGCATTACGGACCACACACTTGTGTGGTCGTTTTTGTTGAATTAACCGATTGTGTTTACGTTTTAATTGTCTAAAACAAAATTTATTATTATTATTATTTTATTATACTAATTCTCATTTCCATGACTATAAAAGTGCTCAAACATGTATATTTCGTTCTAGAAAGATATTTATTGTTTATTAAGTAAAGATATTCCAAATCAAAATGTTCAGAAGTTGAAACAGTTCAACAGAGATCATTCGCGAGAGCTGCATACCAGCGAAGACAAAACCGAGATTCAGGAAATTTTGGCTCTTCTAGGTACCTTAACTTTTTGAATGTTGGCACACATAAACTGCTTCTAAGATTTCCAGATTAAGCACAAGTTAAACAGTAAATCTGTTATTGAACAGCTTATAAATTTATGTAGATCAGAGTGGAGCAGAGGAAATGGTGACGATGTTAACAATTTCAAAAAGCTGTTTAAAATAGACGATTTCCAGTTTGAGTGGGTTGAGATGAGCGTTTTGTGTAAAATGCAGAATTGGGAGAAGTTGATAGCTACATTTACAAAAAGTGTATGTGTTTTTTAGGTTTTAAAAATCTTTTTGATTGCGATTTTTAGGTGTGGGTTATAAAAAAAAAGCGTGCTCTGAAGTCTGTTATTAGACCTGAATTATTTGTTGTCGGTATAAGCCGACATAACCCACCCGAGTATGTAACAGAACAGTTTTTGTCATGTATTAGTGATGCTTCTAAAGTTTTGTATTTAGCAGAGAAATTGAAAATCCATAAGATTGTTGTGAATTATCATGTAGAGCAAAAAGACAAAACGTCTCTCTTGAAATATATGGAAAGGGTCGAGCCCAGCAGTCCCGCTTGGTTTGCTATCCAAAGTAGTTTGAATAACACGGTGAGGTGAAACCAATTTTGCGAGACTTATGAACTAACTCATTTTTGTAGGATATCAAGTGGAAGAACTGATTAATACTGGGAACAAATTTGTTTTATTTCAATATATTTTTATTTACATAAATAAATGCAATTTATTTCTCTATATATAATAGGAAGAAATAATACTGATACATTTACATACTTTGTGTAAATTATTAATATAAATCCTATTCAAAACATTACATAGCAGTTAACAAAAAGTCAATAAATTAACATACCTACAAGTATCTCGCAAATCCAGTACAAAAATGTACCAGGTAGGTATTAAATATAATACCTATTGTAAAAACGTCCATTTATGTAATGACTAAATCGTGAAGAATTTGCCCACTTGGACTAGTAATACTTAATATTTAGACTCTAGTTTTATACTGTTTGATTAAAAAATACTTTTACTATTCTTTAGTCACATAGTGTATGCATGTTAGTTTAGTCGTTACATAAAGGTACAATCAAGACTATTATAACGCTTTAACCTTAAAAGTACTTTTCAGGAACTAATCATCACCGTGTTATAGCCATCTTGTTTTGAACCTACGCACGGTATTCACTTTGTGAATTCTCTTTCTCTTATAAATAAAGATTAACAATAATAACATTTCGATGCAAAGATGAAGTTTCTTATTAATTAATGATAATGCCTATCTGCTGTGTAAAACTGTCACATACGTAAAATAATTATGTGTACTTATAACCTGTGGCTGAAACGATCATATTTGCATAAAGTTCCTAATTATATACAGTCAATTTTTGTCATACTAGCAACATGAAATAGGTAAGTATGTGATTTATTCATATCGAAAACAGCCATTTTTTTAAGTGTTGATAGAACTGAAACGTGCTAGTGACATTAAAAGTACGTTTTACAGTAGATAAAGTCGTGGACGTTATCAAAATGAACTACTTTATTAAATTTACATTTTTATCACAACAGTTTATTAAACTTTGGATTAGACATTAAGCTAACACCAAGAAAAGGATAAGATGTTAGCGAATCGTCTTTAATAATCTAATGTAAATTAAATTCATTGTCATGGTAGAAGTAACGCAGTGCTGAGAAAGTAAATTAAGAAGTATAGTATTTCCACAAAAAAGCAACATGTGTGTATTTGTTATTTTCAGTCTGTGAATTTTAATGATAAATTAATAAGAAGCACGATCGATTAAACTTGGAATCATAGATTTTGAAAAAAAGCAATGATGTTACAAATGCCACCGTTGACGTTAATTAGTATGTCTGACGATTCGTTAAAAATATATCTTTTTGGAGGTTGTCACTCTGGTTTGATGATACCAAGTTTAGTTGACCATACGTTAGAGCAGTCTAGTTATTTATAACGCGGGCTTAATGTTACTATTACCCAGGTTTTTCGGACAAGAGTGCGTTGAATTAATTAAGTACCTTGTAGGTCACCAATTCTTGGAACCTTTGGGTAACTACGAATATTTATAAATTTGAAAACTTAAGTTTTGTTGTATCCTAAAAAAATATCCAATTTGCTAACTACCATGTCGTACCTAATGTACATGTACTGGAGGAACCATTGCATTATAATGTCGTAAAATACCCATATTATTGGCCACTAAGATGAACACATGTGTAGGAATCATTGGTAGATCGTGTTAGTGGACTTGGTACATTGCACACTGCTTTTGAATATTAACTTAAAAATAGCATTGAATTTATTATCACCTATTCTGCACCACAATATTTTCTAGTTACTGGCATGGAGTTCTGTTGCTTTGATTAAATACAAAATTTGATTCCTGTGCGTGAAAAATGTGATCGAATCATCTATGGAAGGTGACTCGTGTCGACAACTGTCAAGTTTAAGTTTTTACGTGAATATGCGATTTTTTTCACGCGATATGTTAGTTAAATTGTTATGGTGGCTTTAAATTTACCGAAGACTTCCGCATGTGTAAAAATAGTTCGTATTTACCACATGGTATAACTCGGAACCGGACAAGTATCGAAGATTCGTCTTACAATTGTGGTGTAAATACAGACTTTGTACTAGTGTACCATGAAGACTTCAGATGGATGGAAATTTTTGCCACATCTGCATTAAATTTAATATACGTTCTCTTAGAAGTGACTAGTATGATAATAATTTAGCAGTTACGCTAGTACGAGATACTCGCAATTTGCAACAAAGGTTCGTTACAGAGTTTGTGGCAACAGAATAGCGGAAATGATTGTCCGTATGACGGTGCACAATAACTTTGATGAATCTGAAAAAAAAAATCACCTATACATACAAAGAATAAATAAGTTAAATAAGTTCGATAGTATTGCACATAGCACACTGGAATGCTAAGGTGTATCACGATCTGCAGATTCGGAACGCCCTGATGGTGGATGGTTTCTTTTAGGAGGAGGTTGTAGAGGAAATAATCTGTGTTCCGAAGGCCAGTAGATCTGCCTTTCGCCGTCATCCGTCGAAGGTACTGCTGTCATTGAAGGAACATACTGTTCAGGCATCCAATCAAAGGAAAATGCGCTTCCAGTTTGCGTACTGGGAGTTGCCGTTGGCGTAGGAGGTGCACTTCCGATATAGGGACTCAGTTCTTGATGACATAAATCAGGAACTTTTTGCAGCGTATCCGACCACGGCGGACTCGGATTCCATTGGTCCATAAGTTCACTCGGATCAACTTTAAGAAGAGTCCTCGGCCGTTCCGTTAAATGGGAAACTATTAACAATCCGGTACTACCACCTTCCACGTCCGCCGATTCCACATCCCTTACGTCTAATTCGAGGTTTTGGAGTTCTTTGGGTTTCCTTTTGCTATATGAGTAATCCACCGGTTCCGAATCGACGCGCCGATGGTGGTGATGGTGCTGACTGTGGTGAGGATGTGTGGGAGTCGAGTGGTGCGTGAGGTGTGTCTGTAACGCTGCCGGCATTGCGCCAAGGTGCGAGTACCCCCCGGAATCGTGGCTCGGCGGAAACTCCGGCCCCGGAGGGTGCTCCGGATAGTAGAGCAGTCTGGACGAGGGACCCACGTCGTACGCGAGCCCATACTGGAGCTTGTTCTGGACCGAATAGTAGTGATACAGCCAGTTGTTGGTCCGCATGACGGCAGCCTCGGCTTCGCTGAGCACCTGGTTGGTGCAGACGATGACAGGCTGTTGATTGCTTTCGGAGCTCTCTTTAACTTGCAACACGCAGTGCATCCACAGCCAATCTCCGGAGCGTCGCTGAAATTGAGCCAAGAGAATACATGAGCGTTCCTGTTCCGATTGGGTGACTGCAAAAAAGCACACAGCTCGGCTTGGAGTTGTTTGTGTTTATGGCAAACTTACTGAGTCGGTGTTTTGTCTGGGCCTCACGCGTGCATTCCCAATGCAGCAGCCGGTACCAGGACACCCCCTGCAGATCGGCGCGCGGAAAGCCCAAGTAGAATTCGCCGCTGCAACACAAGTGTAACATTCGTCGTGATTTATGGTATTCGATGTCACCGGCTCTCCCGCGACCCGGTGACCTGGACCGCCCCGGCATCACGAGCAACCATAGATTTATCGCACGAGTGAACAAAGCCCCAAACAACTCTCGTATATGCCACGGGCGGCGGGCGCACTCAGCCCGAGCCGCACGCCACCCTAAATTTGACACTCGCCTGCTGCTACCCGGTTAGCACGATAAAAGAGCGTCCGAGGCATTTCACTCTCCAAAAAACAGGATCACTATATTGTTGAAACGTAGGTTCAACGACAAGATTCTTAGGGCTGACCCTTTTTATAAATGGGTAAGTGGAACATGACGGACAAAACAATGACGGAACAAGATCTAGAAGTAGTAGCGACGGAGTCGATCAACTCAAAATTTTGCTTCAAATTAGATGCAGAATCAATTCCCTAAATCTCGATGGAGAAGGTTTTAGGAATTCTTGAAGAATGTTCGTAAACCACATCGATATCTCGTAAACGGAAAAACTAACCATTCAAGATGTCGATTAATTAATTAATGAGAGTACTGTGTCAGAACAGAAAATCATGTTGTTCGATTAGGAAAAACGTAGGCAAAGACTTTTTGGACCATCACAATGTTGAAGGATTTTTGTGAAGATGTCATAAATAGCGAACCAAAAAGACTTGATTACATAAGGAAAATAAATACAGCAATAAATGGACTAAATTGATAAGTTTTGACAGTTCTTAGCAAAACGGTACCGATTCTGCTGTTGAGAATCTCCCTCTTGCCACCCATGTGTGTAGTACTTACTTGTTGTCGATGTGTATAAACCGCATGTCCATCGAGTGTATGGAAGTGAAGACGTTGGTGGCGCCCTGCACGACACACTCTCTGGTTTCAGGCATTGCCACCGGTGTACAAGTGGCGAGGAAGACTGGTTCGTTTCGGCTGCACAGTGGCAAAAAGGACAAGTACCGGCCCTGCACCAGCACTACCTGCGACAGTACGTATAAGTAGTGGCGCTTTGTGTTTTTGAATTTTGATTAGATTCATTTCCATGTGACTCGTTTAACTAAAAGCACGATGTGTTCTCTGGCTAGCGAGTAGGCGTTGTAACATATCGCACACCCAGCACCGAGCGCCTTCACCCATTTTTACAGATCCTAAAGTGGAACGCAAGAAAATAGTTTCTCGCGTTTTTTCTTTATTTTTGGCATACATTGTTTTAGTGCCGTTTTCCCTGGAGAGAGTGCCAAAAATTTCGTCGAGATTTAATATATATGCACCAAATTTAGATCATATTTAATTTACTTTACAAGGAAACGATTATTTTTCTGTGTTTAGCAAAGAGTTCAGCTGTACTACCGTTGGTTTAATTCATTTTAAAAACAACAGAATGTTTACTTCTGTTTTAAGTAATTAATAACAACAGCAAAAAAGTGTGTCGTTTTTATAACCTAACTAATTTTAATTGTCACGTAAACATGACATTCAAATTTTGGGAAATATAGGTATGACAACAGAAGAAAATTGAAATGTTACCAAATATAGTGGTTTAGAAACAAAACGCGCCTAATACTAATGAAGTTATAAATGGTTTGTTATACTTCTTGCTGATAAAATCAAGTAAAACTGAATGCATTGCTTTAGAAATACCGAAATTTAAAAACAAGGGCGAAGGTACAAATAACGTTTGAGAAATATATTTGTAGTTGTCACAGTGCAAAATACCATCGTATGAATTAACAATTAATTATCAGTAACTGCTGGCAAAGGTTGACGTGTCAAACCATTGAGTGCAGGTCACATGCTTAAGTTTTTTTTCGAAGATCTCCAAGATGATGAGCTTAGTGGTACAGCTAATTAAAATACTTTAAAACTCTTTAATAATTTGCGTTGGAGGGAAAGGCGTTTACACTTGTACTTGTTAGCTAATGACGATTACAAATCACCAGTATACATTAACGACATCCAGTTTTTTTCTGAAGTACTTTCGTGTGGCTAACACCTCGCGTCAAACCTTTAAATCACAGGCCAGTTTGGGGGATTTACCCAGTTATGGGAGGCACGAGTACAGATATCTAATGTGACAAGCAACGATTGCGATAATAAATTGTAATAAGCGTTGCAATGCAAATAAATGTATGTACAGCTTGTATTCAGATAGATTCCTTCGGTATCTATGGCAACTATTCTAGGTGTGGGTGGAATCATTGCTGCTGTTAGAGGTCGGGAAGGGGGACTCGACCCGCTGAGGTTACTGCATAGTGAAAGGCAGATCCGGCATTGGTACATTCAGCAATGCAAACCGTCCGCAAGTTATCTTTTATACAACTGAAGCTGTTAACTCAATTTATGTGGCTTATATAAGTCAGGTTTCTAGACTGATTTATTTTTAAGGTGCTGATGCAAACAAAAATATTCAAATTAGTTCGTCCGTGAAGGTGCAAGTGTAAATGGGCTGACGATAACAAGAGAACGAACCAAGTGCACAATGAGAAAATTGTAGTTGTGATATTTGATAAGTACCTTTTGGTCCCCAAATCGCATTTGGCGTCTGGCGTTTCTAGAAACATTCATCCTACATAAAAATAAACGAATTTCTTCACTAGGGTTACTATTTGATCCTGAATTTACTGGCCGTCCTAACTCACACTGGATTGCTTGGTGATCTTGCTTATCTATAATATCGTATACACTATCTCCATGGATCAAGAGATCCTCCTAAAACAACATAGAATCTCTTAAACTAGCATTGTAAAATATTTTACACATTGATGGAGTACATTCGCCTTCAGTATATTATGCAAGTTGACAAAAAGCTTCTAACACTGCTGTTGAAACTACCCCAGTTAAGTAATGAAGCAACATTGAAACTTCGACTAAATATGGAAACTATTTTTTTTTTTTAAATATACACTTGTGTTCTACATTTTACTGACGTCATCTAAAAGCTAGGTTAGTTTAGTCATATAAGATAATTTAATGTTGGCAAATAACAGCGAAATATTTACTATATAAAGGAGTAACGATGTTGAGTTCGTTGTCGTCATTTATAGTAGCTGTGAGGTATGTCCAAGAATATTGAACAATATTCCAAATATTTATAATTTTTTTCGCCTCCTTATTACATTAGTGGTAATGTTACACATAAAGGCAGTGGCGGTGGGTGGAGTAGCTAACATATTAATAAGGCCAAAAATGCTGCGTCATTGACGTTGATGACATGGAGTTAGTCGGTCGTCTTGCTTTACTAAACTACTAAATCATGAACGAATGTCAGAAGCTTTTTCAGTCTTACATATTGTCCGCATATTCTACCATCTAAATTTTTAAATAAATGATCTATTAATTAAGAATTTCTTTGAGTGAGCGCTTCGATAGAATTAAGCATATTTCCTTTATGTGTTGAGGCATTTCAAGCTCGCTCTTAAGCTTAAAGCTCAAAAAGTTCGCTCACCTGTAAAACACTCACCATGGAATGTCCCAGGTACTCTGCAGCATTGTCCGATATGTACAACAGCTTACCATTTTGAGTCATCATCATCAGAAAGCCACTTAAGGCCTGAAACAAAAAGGATAAGTCAAATTTCTAGTCAAACTATACGTAGATCGAGTGCCGAAGTAGCAGACAAAGTAGCCGATCATTTAAAATAAGTGTCAGACGTTGAATAACCTACATGAAAGTACTTGTAAACAATATCCACTTAATCTAAACAGGTGTATGATTGGCTCCTTGTTTAATCCACTTAGTTAATTACACTTAAATAAAACCAAAGAAACTGGCATGTGAATTTCTTTTTAAGGTAAAACATATTTTAGATATTATTTTAACATACAGACATAAAAAATACAAACTTTAGATTAGAGCTATTAAAATAAAATTAGAAATATGGCATATAGGTACATTATAATCCATCTAGACTAAAAATACTACAGTATATTTATTTCTACACCGTTATTTTATTTTTTCCCTCAAATGAACCAACTAGGTAAGATTATCATAATCATGCAAACATTTCGAAATCGTCACCTATTATGATAATTATAGCTTAGCACGCTTCGAATGATGAGCGTTTAATTTTCTTGTTCTCTGTTTTTGTACATTATTATTAAACACGATTCCATAGATTGATGTTTCTGTTTTGTTAAAAATTATTTTAATGATTGAAGGTTTTATACACACATCGATTTCGATCTATATGTAATTAAACTCATTATTAATCTCTTCTTCAGTCTGCATCGTTTGATGAAATTAGCGACTGAAATTTAAAACCAATTCATTAAATACAGAACTAACCTGAGATTAATAAAAATCGTCTTTTAGTTGGTACTGGATTTTTTAGCTGTTTTCCTCATTTCGTATTGTGAATCATAGATCGTGAGAAAGAGAGCTTTTTCGTGTTCGTCCAGCGCCACCTTGAGGACGACATTATACGACTTCGCCAAAACAAACTGACAGACAGACGGAAACGGGAGACCTATTTCTTCGTCTTCTAGGGGTCATGAAAGGTCGAGAAAACGTAAAAGTAGAGAGTCGGCCGACGGACTCGATTACAATACTTCCTTCGTTTACGCTCGGGAAGTAAAAATAAAAGAAAACTTGTTAAGTGAATATTTACAGGGTAAGGCACTAAGTAAAAAAAAATTGTTAAACAAATTAAAGTAACTTACTAAAATGCTGAAAAACGAGAGGTTCTTAAGCGAAAGGACATTGTCATTGTCAGTTACCATAAAGGAAGGGTAGGATAGTTGCTTCTGCCCCAAATAAACATGGCAAGAAAGAAGAAAAAGATTTTTTGAAGATCTTCAGAGACAAATGGACTGCAGCAATAGAAAAGCAATAATAATGAATGTTTTAACTGGTGTTGAGGAAAACAAGGAGAAAAAACGAAAAACTTAAACCCCGAAAGAATATTGAATTTTTACAATGATCAAGCATACATAAATTTATCAGGGAAATGACAAGCCGAAAGTAAAATTCGGTAATAGACTAAAATAAAAATCTACGAGGAAGGGTCAAGAAGTTAAACGTGGTTGGAACATGCGAGTAGGCAATGCCTACAATTCGGATGAGGCCGACGTTTTTTTAGGCGACCATACAAAAAATTGTTGATTATGTAAGTGGTTTTGAGGTTAGAAAATATTTTCATTGTTGGAGGAAAAGTCCTGCAGATTTGTTAAAAACCAAAGTGTTACTTCTCTCCTCTGCTAAGAAAAAAATTGGTACCGTTATGTTTCAATATTCAGTAAAGTAAAAAAAAAGATGTCGGTCAAAAACACAAGGCCAAGGACGCATAAGTAAATTTTCGACATTTGAGTACAAAAAAGCGACAAGTCGGCCCAAAAAAGTATTCATGGACGTGACTGGGGACGTAAAACGACTAGATTTATATCAATGTGCTCTATAATTTTTATGATGCATAAAAACAGGCATATTTTGTTTTGTTTAAAAGTGTCAGTCTGTCCTAGAAAGTAGTAGTAATACAACTTAATAAAGTGCAGTAATTACCATTTAAACGTCATACGCAGTTTTAATTATTAAATTATATTGTAATAGAGTGACATTTGACTTTTCACGACTAGTGATTTGCTATCATTTTTACTGACACATTAAGATGTCTTGATGTAAGTAGCCGAAAATAATAAATAATCTAAAGTGGAAATTTGACCAATTTTATTACTTTATTCAAATCACATAACAAGCTTTTGGCACCATTCCGAGAACGTGCTGGTAAATAAGCTGCGATTCATGTAGAAAAGGACAATAAAACGGAAAGAATGTATTAACAAGAGTAACAGAAGAAGATTTGTTTTGGAACCTCATTAAGTTTAGTATAATCAATTTTAATATAATTCACATTTGTATCTATAAAAATAGTGAGCTATAGTGGTTTTTAATGACTTGATATTAAGAGAAATTATCATAAAAGTATCTTTTTAAACAGCTTTTTCGCTATCCATAAAAACATTTACGAAATGGACCCATCAGTTGCTTGTCATTAGATAAAATGCTTGCTGCGGTGCTTTACATTTTAAGAACTCGTTGCTTCATTTTAATCTTCTAGACACTTAACGGAAATATGTCAACAAAGTTTTGTATTGTTGTTTGTGACGTATTTTTATCTACGTCTGCATAGCGCTACATCAGATCGTATCTCCTTCTTATAGCTAATCCGAGTATAAAAGATTATACAAAGTAAATGTCAAATCCATGGTTATGTTTATCTCTGTGAAATAAATAGACAACTGATAAAAGCTCAAAACTGCGAATGAACTTCGTCGAGTAATTCATCGGGTCATAAAAGAGAAAATATATTATTCTGTTTATAACAAAAACCAAACGCTGTTACAATAATTACTCATGTTTCGTTACATGAAATAAATCACAGATTTTTTCAAACGAAGGACACACTTTCAGAGCTGTAGTTTATTCTAGTTTGCTGTTATTAATGTGCTTTTGTACCTCGAATGTGGCGTTAAACGTAATTAATTTAATTTTAGTTATTAACGTTTTAAACTGTGCATTATCTATGATATTTATTACACTCTAAGAATAATGCATACTACTTATAAGCTCCGGTTCTTTATTTAAACTTTTTTACACGAAACGATGACAATTAGACTCTATTTATTAGGCTACTTTTCTTTCACGTGTTGTAGCAGAGTTGGCTATGATTATGACACACCGCAATGGTAACTCGAAAACCGCAAAAATATAGTATAATCTGTATTCATTTATACGATTAAGAAAACATAAATGTCATTTCAGCTAGTTCTGTTTCAGTTTGTATTGTAAAGCATTACGCAAACTGAAAGAGAATTTAGTTACAACAATTGATTTTACGTTTGTTGTTTATTCCATATGTTACGTCATCGATAAAATATAGTGTGAAGCATACTGAACTAATTAATTAATAGTTACTATATGTATCATTTCAAGGAAGTTAGTATTAATTAATAAACTTTTAACATAACTGATTGTGATGCTAGTGAAACAGTTCATTTTTTATTTTGCGAAAATAGAAACCGCAGTGTTGCGATATCTCTCTGAAACAGAAATGATCTGTACATTCGCAAAAATATACCATAACTTTACTAGTTGGAGCTTATCAAAATATCTAACTAAGCATTGCAAAGAACACGATTCCCTTTGGAACGAAGCGTGCTATAAGGTAACCCAGAAAACCGATTTGTTTGCGCGATTACCACAGTATGATTGAGAAAATATTGCATTTTCAATATTCGCATACCACAGTTAAGATTCACTATGGGTTATCGATTTTAAATACCGTTTACCCGAAGATCGTAAAATATTATTGTCTAATCAGTCGTGGATGGTTTTAAAGTATCTAGTTAAGTCTTATTAACGCCTAATGAAACGGCAGGCGATTATAGAAGTGAAAAGTATTTAACTGTAAATACGGAGCGCCCTCTATCAGAGGGTAGATAAAAAAATTGGCGCTCAACTCAAAAAGTAGCAACGGGGGAGTGATTTACGCATTTTTATTAATCAAAATTAGCAATTATAATCAATCGACCACAAATAGAATAGATCACGTTACATCGCGGTAATTCCTCAGATGTGTGGAATACATTAAACAGCATGATTACGGAGATTTTAAAATATTTTAATTGAGTGATTGTGATTTTTCTTTAGATAGAAGCAATTATGAGTATACACTACATCATTGTAGTACACAAGGTTTTATATGTAGATTTTCAATAGTGATAGCCAGTTTTGTAAAACACTTTGAACTCTTAAAACGTCAATGTTCCTTGAAGCAAAAATGTTAACACATGTTCGTTGCCCCAATATGGCATACTTCCTAAGGACTTTTTATATGTTTGAACTTGTATTCACCCTGTATGATGTTGCAGCTGTCCTTGATACGAAAGCTTGATGGTCCCCGTGAGGTCAAAGTTGGTATTAAGAATAAATTTACAGCATTACAAAATAGTGTAAATTGCAGGCGTGGATCATCACTTACAGCCCGGCTCAAACGCGGCGAAGAGGTTGATCTGAACACAAATTGCGGCGCGCTGCAAGTAGCTTAATGCTTAGTTTTTGTACAAATTGCAACTTTATACAACTGTGATCTAAAAACAGAGTACGACCAAAAAATACCGCGTACTAAAACTTAGTAGCGCTATCGCCAAATGTTTTGAGCTATTTTATTAGCATGTGTGCCATATAGTTTTAAGTTGGTGTCACTACAAGAAAAAACTTAAATTCTTCTTAGGTGAGTAATGACGGTCTGCTGTGTTTATTAAAAACTGCAGCCGGTGAAAAGTACGTTAGATTTTGTGCGGTTGTGTTGGCGGTATGTAATTATGGCAGACGTGGTTTTAATTTAGACGATCACACGAGGCCCGGTGCGGTGAAACGGTTAGAACAAGCATCTCTTAAAAGGCTATAAATAACGATACGAACCAATAAAGTACAAAATAAACACAATATAAAATTCCGAAAACTGATTAGAAATCTTAATTTAGTATTAGCTATGAAAGTTACCTTGGTTTAATGTGAAGCAGTTCACTCGAAGCAAGCGAGAGAACAGTAAT